AAATAATTAATATTATATTATTATTTATTTAAGTACATAATTAATATATATTTCTATTGATTTTATTTATTTATTTATTTATTTATTTATTAATTTATTTATTTATTTAAAATATTATTTTATTTATTTAAGTATATAATTAAAATATAATTTTTTAAATTTTATTAATTAAATAATTAATTAATATTATATTATATATTTACGTATATAATTAATATATAATTTTTTTGATTTAATTTATTTAATTAATTAATATTATGTTATTTATTTAAATATATAATTGATATATATTTTTTATTAATTTTATTTATTTAATTAATTAATATTATGTTATATACTTATGTAATTAATATATAATTTATTAATTTTAATTAATTAAATAATTAATTAATATTATATTATATTATATATTTACGTATATAATTAATATATAATTTTTTTTAATTTAATTTATTTAATTAATTAATATTATATTATTTGTTTAGTAATTAATATATAATTTATTAATTTTAATTAATTAATTAATATTATATTATTTATTTATGTAATTAATATGTAATTTATTAATTTTATGTATTTATCAACTTAATAGTGTAATTAATTGATATTATATTATATTAAGTAATAATTATTATTTATTTATTTTTTTTAATTATTAACTATCAATTATTTAATCAGTATTTTTAGTTTATTTTTTAAATAATTAATTAAAATAATATATAATAATAATAATAATATTTATTTATTATTATTTTTTAAATATTAATTTTATTTTTTGTTAAAATAAATAATTTAATATATATTTTTATTATTATATATATATATAATATATTAAATTATGCATATATATTTACAATTTAATTTTATTATTAATACTCAGTTCATATTTTATTATTTATTTCAGTCTAATTTTATTTATTACTAAATTATTTAATCTAATATAATATTTTATTTTATATTATTTATAAATGTATTAAATAAATATATTTATTGTTTTTATTATTAAATTAAATGATACTTATTTTTAATTTATTAATTCCATTAAATTAATTAATTAATTCAACATTTTTATTCTTTATATTATTACGTTTATAATTAATTAAATATTTTTTCTTTATGAATTTTATTATAAAATTAAAAATAAACTTTTAATTATTTTCAATTTTTATATAAAATATATGTTGTAATTTATTTTTAAATTTATAATTTTTATTATTCTATGATATTTATATGTTCGCTAATATATTATTAAATTTATTCATATTATATATACTTAAATTATTCATTTCGAAATTTGAAATGAATATATTAAATTTTATCTTCATTTAATTTAAAAATATATATTATAATTTATTTGAATCCTTTTCTTATTTATTCTATCTTTAACTAATCTTATAATAGTATCATTTTTTTTTTTTTTTATAAATAAATAAATACATTTATTTTTTAAATAATATAAACAAATTACTATTTTAAAATTAAATTTTATATTTTTAATAATCTAATTTATATTAATATTTTAGATTTTAAATAAATTATAATTTTTTTGAATTATTAAAATAAAATATTTACTATTATATATATATATATTATAGTAATCATTTAACTTATTTCATTAATATATATATATCTTTATGTTTTATTTTATGTATTTATGTTATATATAATTATATATATTTTTTTTCTTTTACTTATAAATATAATATTTAATAACTTATATTAAAAATATTTATTATATTATAATTTAAAATTTTTTATATACAAATAATATTATTTAAGAGGTATTTTTTATCATTTATTTTGATATTTATTATAAATTCTTTACTAATATTTCTTAATTCAACAATTTTTTTTTTTTTTTTTTTTTTACTAATTTTTTAATTGATACTTATTATGTATAATATATATATTCATATTTTATTTTAATTAAATATTAATATATATTATTTTTTAAAATTATTTATATTTATATGTAATTAAATAATTTATTTAATTTTATTATAGTTATAATATTTTATTATCGTATAATATTCATCTATAATATTAATGCGTATTTTAACTCTTAATTTAAAATTACAAATTTTCATTTTATTGTTATTTGTTATGCTTCATTTTTTAACGTTATTTAATAGTAACAGAAACCAAAGAATTATTTTTTGAATGTATATATTCTTGTTTTAATCATGTGCAAAAGTAATAATAAAATAATTAATTTACTATATTTTTTTAGTTCATAATTTATCCATATTCGGAATTTTTTTTTTAGAACGTACATGTTTGGAAAATGGTAAAATGATTTAAATTGAATCTTTTTATTTTGTCGAAATAAATTTAATCTTAGAAGTATTATATATATTAACTTAAAGCAGGAATTTTTATCAAGTAAATATATTAAAAATTCCTTAAGAAAAAAGAATGTCCAATTAAATATTTAGGGATAAATTAAATAGTATATGAAAAAAAAACATAATTTACAAAGTTCAGATAGTATAAGAATTATAAATACTTAATCAATATATATATTAAAATTATAAATAGGAGTTTCTTAACCATGATAACGAATAACTTATTTAGATTTGTAATTTTTTAGCCATTCTTATAATTATATCTAAAATTATAATATATAAAAATGGCTAACTTAAAGTTGAATTTGAATAAGAGAAATATTTTTTCAGTAAAAGTAACGGATTTTATACAATAACTCGTAATGATATTGTCCAAAATCCCTTAAAATTTTTTAGCTATTTTTTTTGCAAATAAAAATATAACATATTTTATAAATGTAATAGTATATGTCTGATGAATGGTGATTTACAGAAAATAAGAGAATCATTATATTCTTATGAGCTAAAATTTGTTTAAAAAATTCCTTCATTAGTGAAGAATATTTAATGAAATAATAAATGTATTGTTACTCTTTAAAATATCTATAATTATTCTCGTTCTATTTTTTTCTTAAATGACATACAAATAGTTTTACTTTTATATTATCATTTATATATTACATTAATAGGGTGGTTCTATACGAAAATAGCAATTTTACAAATATAGATGAAGATCCAATTTCTTTAACGAATTACATATATCATTTTAGAAAATAAAGGATATTCTTTATTTCAGAAAATCATAAAAAATGTATTATGAGGAATTATACTTTTTTCATAAAGAATAAGTTTGGTGTATTTTAAACCTAAAGTATTTATTTTTATAGTTTAAAAAGAAGAAAAAAAATAGTATGATAATATGAAAATATGAATATTCATTGATACAAAATAAATTTTTTTTTAAGCTTTATGTTTATTTTTTAATAATATTAAATATCTCTTACCATAAGAATGATCATGTTAAGTTTAATATGTCATATTAATAATTACCTATATTTTATTATTAACTTTTTTGTGTTGGGAATTCAAGATAAATCTTATTTTCTTTTTTTCTTATAAAAAGCACTGATATTATTTAAATGAAAGTTATGTATATATGCACATAGATTTGAATTTTAATTTATGCATACACAAAATTTATATGTGTTATATGTATTAATTACTATTATTTTTAAATATTTTATAATTACTGAACATTTAATTAAATAAAACAGCACATATTTTAATTTATGCACAAAAGAACTTAATAAAAAAATAAAATTTCTACTCATCCTCAAATCAACATATATTTATTAGCTAAAATAAATTGTCAAAAAATGAAGAATTAAACATTCATACATATTAGTATATTATTCGAGATTTTTCTTAATGAAACGTTAATTAAATAACATTATTAGTGATAATAAAATTTCATAATATTTGAATATATATGTGCATTTTTCATCTTGGAGATTAACATCTTTAAAATTTGTCACAATAAAAATATTATATAGAATTTTTCTTTTACATTTAATTTTTGTAACTTTTTTGAAGGGAAATATAATTGTGATATCTTGTCTTCTTATTTATATATTTTTTAGTAATTTTCTTTTATCTTTTAAACAATTCAAAAGTGATGTAAAAAATTTTGTTTGTTTAATTTGCAGTTTTTGCAATGTATTCATAACATATGAAGAGAATTTTGTTAATAATGAAATGAAGAACTAAATAATTAAAAATTTAGTTTATGAAATATGAATTATAAGTTTATTATTTTAATAAAATACAAGCTTAATCGTTGATAACCATTATGTTTTTTATATAAAATAAAATATACCTTTTTCTTTTTTTTATCAAGGAATACGTATATAGAATTTAATATTTTCAAAAATAGTAACTTTTTATATTGCTAATTTTATAATTTAACTTTGAAGAATTTTATTTATTATTATTAAAGTTTATTTAAAATTTTAACCATTTGAATATCTTTACATCTTCCATTAATTAACTGAGAATAAAATATATATTTATCTAATTTAATATAAACTATCAGAATTTTTTTTAAATGTACATTTTTAAAGTTACTAATATAACTTTTTTTTATTATATGCAAATTTCTATAACTTTTTTTTTTTTATAAAGAATATATTTCATTCATTTTTTATAATAAAAGAGGAAAATAATATATTATAGTAAAATTGTGGCTTTTTATCACAAAAAAAAAAAGTCCATAAAACATTAATAATAAAATTCATTATAATTATATTATGCATTTACATTTTATATATGAAAAATTTTTTTTATATAAACCTATGATAAAATTTTTATTTTTTTCTATTTTTTTTTTTGTTTAAAATAATTTTCTTCAATTTTTATATATACCTAAAAAGTTATAACATTTATTAGTTAATTTGATTTTTCTATTGACTTAAAAAAAAGAACAAAAAAATTTACAAAAAGTTAATCTTTAAATAAAATTTTTGCGATTACACACTATATAACATTATGAAGAAGTATTATTTATTTATAAAACTCATATTTAGAAATAAAACAAATAAAATATCAATATTAAAAATAAATTCTAATGTACGTGAATAAAAATACAATAAATAAAAAATCATTGAATTTCATGTTATTTTATTTATTATTAAATCGTTCTAACCATTTATCTGCTTCTTCTATTTCCTTTTTTTCTTGTTCATCGAATTCTTTAACCAAAAAATTAACGGTTTTAGCAATTTTTTTCTTTAAAAATATAGATTTATCTTTCTCATCATAAACTAATGTATCATATTTAATTAAATCTGATAAATCATTCTTCAATTTCTCTATTTTTTTTTTACTTTCTTCAGAATAATTATTATTCATATTGTATCTCAGTTTCCTTCTTTCATTTGTATATTCATGATACTTATTCATCATATTTGTATACATTTTTTCTACTTCAGAAATTTCTGGGATTTTAAAATTTAATCGGTTATTATATTTTTGGAAATAAGGATGTTCTAAAATTTCTGTGCATCCTCCTTTATATCCTAACCTTTCTTCTGGGTTAAGATTAGTCAACTTTTCAATTAAATCAATCAATTCAGATGACATTATAGGTGGGTATTTTATTTCTTTTTTTTTTATTTTATTATAAATGAACCACTCCGTAGAGGCATTAAAGGGAACTGTGCATACTACTAGCTGATAAATAGCGCATCCAAGACTCCAAAAGTCACGTGCTTTACCGCTACACTTGTTTGTTAACGCTTCTGGAGGCATAAAGTTAGGTGTTCCAACATAATTTTCAAATTTCTTTTTTTTTCTGTATCCATTGTTATATTTATTTATATTTATTAGATATTTATCACTTTTTAAAATACATGGCTTGTGAACAGTCTTTTCCGAAATAATATTGTTAAAACCATTATTTTCAGTGTTTTTAATCTCTTTATAAATGCAGTTTTTTTTAATTTGATTTTTTAACTTTTCATTATTTTTTTCATTATTATAATCCAAAACACTTTTACTAAATTCTTCAGAGCTTAAATTATTATCACTTTTAGTTTCGGACTCGTTTTCTGAGTTTTCTTTTGAATTCTTACTTTTTTTTAATCTAAATTTACTTAGCTCAGCATCTTTTATTGTGGGTTCGTTAATTACTTCTTTAGTTATATTATCTAAATCTTTCGAAGTACCAAAATCAATCATTTTTATTATTCCATCTTTATTTATAACAAAGTTTTCGCATTTCAAGTCTCTGTGAATTATATTTTTGCTATGTATATATTCTAATGCATAGATCATTTGAAGTATTATATTAAATGTTATATTTTCGTTAACTCCAACACTCCTGTTTTTTAAAAATTCCCACAATTCATAATCAGCATATTCATACAATAAATAAACATGTTGTTTATCTTTAAATGTGTCAATTAATTTAATAACATTTACATGTCCAGGAGTATTTAGTTTTGTCATAGTATGTTTTTCCATTAAAACTTCATCAATTTTATTCATTCTGTTTACTTTTTCTTTTTCAAACATTTTTAGGGAGTATATTTTTGAAGGATTATTCTTCAATTTCACCATAAAAACTTCACTGAAGTTGCCACTTCCTATATGCATATGTACCTCAAAATCATCTTTACAGTATTTTCTAGGTATTTTATCCTTTTCACTTTCTATTATTTTTTCTTCAATGTCATAGAAATTTTTATTCAATAAAAATCCTTTCTCCATTTTTTCACCTTTTTGTTGATCTTATAAATTTAAAATAATTTCATTTTTGTATATATTTAATAACATGAATAAAATAATATATATAATTTAATTGTCTTATTTTGAGGAAAGATTATTAATTTAGGGTTTCAACAAGGAATTCACAACAAATCAATATTTAAAATTTAATGAAAATGTTTACTTAAATTTATTAATCTTATGATTAAAATTAAAAAATTTCTATTATATTCTTAATTATTCTTAAGTTTTAATTAAAAACAATTTTGCAACTTAAATATTACTAATTGAAATTTCTAAAAAAAAATAAAATAAAAATGTTTATACAAATATATTTTTTTTTAGTTAATATAAAAGAAATATATTATGAAATTATTTTAAGAAAATTAAAAAAAAAGAGGTAAAAAAAATTTTATTTATCAAAAAAAAAAAAAAAAATAAAAAATAAATAATAAAAGCAATAATAATTAAAAAATAAATGTGCCATATTACTTAAAAAACAAGAATAAAATGTTTTAAATTTTTTTTGCATGCTTTAATGTAGTATCATGGAAAAATTAAAACATTTTACCATTAAAATCTTGGGGTTAGCATATTAGAAAAAAAAAATAAATATATATACATATTAATATTTCAATAAGGTTAATTTTCAAATTGGACCGTAAGCATTAACATCTTCTTTTATTTGAATAAAAGTATCAAGAACTCCTAAAATTCTATCATTTCCTTTTCCATTTATTGTAAATATGTTATGTAAATTTTTTATTTGTAATAACTCTAAATCAATAGCTTTTTTTTGAATAGCCACTCCAAATTGTTTCCATAAATCATCGTCATGAATATTCATTTCTTGCAAATATATTATAATATCATATAAATGCTGTATATGCATATTAACACATTTTCTTTTTAAATGATAAAATAAATGATATAAAATTCTTCTATCTTTTATTTTTAACTTATAAATACTAGTAATAATTTCATGCATCATTGAACTATTCACAGTGTGATCAAGTCTTAAAAATCTTGATAATTCTAATGCATATTCAATTATTCTTTTATTTTTTATTTCATATTCTCTTAAACATACCCATATACTTGTTATTCCTTGAGCGGTTATCATAATTTTATTATTTCTTATATTTTTTATCATAAAATTGAATAAAAAAAAAAAAAAAAAAGGATCTGTTTTATTCATAATAGCATATGATTTCATAATCATACAAATATCCTGACTCAAGTTTTTTTTACATCCATATAAATCTATTTTATTCTCGTTATTTTCTTCGTAGATATTTTCTAGGCTTTGATTTTGCGGCTCTAATTCTTTATTTTGATCATATTGTTTAAAGTTATTGTTATATGAATTCAAATTTTTAATATGAAAATAATTTTCATTATTTTTTTGTTTTTCATAATTAGTAATATTTTCATTTAAATCCATTTTTATTATACCTATATTTTCTTTTATCGTTCCTTTTTTTAACTCACTATTTGATTCTTCATCTAATAAATTTAATAAATGATATACTCTATTTTTTACGCATATTAATTCTAAAGGAGGTAACCTGTTTATCTTAGAATAAGCCCATGATATTAATGATAACTCATGAAGATTCATTGTTTTAATGCATCCATGTAATATCTTATTTATTTCCATAAAAAGATCTGCTAAATAAAAACTATTTTTTGCGTAACTCCAAGCTATTAAACTAATTGTCTTATTATCATAATTTAAAATATTGTTTTTTAATACATTTTCATAAATAAATAAAAGAGATTTAGTGTGTCCCAAAATTGCGTACCTGTATAAAATAAAAAAAAGACATTTTTGAAATGTAATAAATTATTACAGAGTTATTTTTATATAATTTGTTTTATTATGTATATATAATATTGAACTAAAAAATTTACCTATGTACAAGTGTACTTATGTTTGATCTAAAAATGTTTATATTACTAAATATGAAATTATTATAACTATTAAACGTTGGAGACAATAAATCAACTTTTTTCATATGGCTAATATATGTTAATGAAGCTATAATATCTCTTTTACTGAATCCTTCTGAATATTCATTAATTAAATTAATAAATGTCTTATGAAATAAAGTAATTATATAAAACAAAAAATAATTAACTTTTTTTTTTTTTTTTTTTTTTTACCTTTGTTATCATTACAAAATCTCATAAATTCTTCAAAATATACATATTTATTCATCAAACTTGCATAATAGGTATCATGTTTCCAATTTAAAATTTTAGAATATCTTTTGATAAGTAGTGAAAAATTCATCATTATATTTGTAGATTAAATTATTTTTTAGCGTTAAAAAAAAACGAAAATAAAATTTCCTCTTTAATCTAAAGATTCCATTGTGATAAATTTTTAATATTATATATTAATTGCTATATTAATTTATTTTAATATTTAAAACACAAATTATTTCATTAAAAATGTACTATTTTGTAATTAATTTTTTTTTTTTTTTAATAGCATTTTTCGTAAAAATAATTCATAATAAAAATAATGAAAAATGCATTTCATTTTATGTCAAGTTTATTATAAAATGATATGGACTTTTTTTAAAAAAAAAAGATTATAATAAGTTTCAGCAACAAAAAAAAAGAAAAAAAGAAATTAGTAATTAATTATATAAAACTATTTAAAAAATTATAATTAATGATATTTTTTTAATTTTTATCTCGATTTTCTTTTTAATTATTAAATTTTAAAGCATATAAAAGAGAAAAAAATCAAACATATCTTGTTTCTTCCTTTGCCGTAAGCTTAAATATAAACCCAAAAAATAACATTATAACACAAGTTGAAATGGCTATAACATTAAAAGGCATACCTAAAAAAAAAATATATATATATATATATATATATATATATATATATATATATATATATATATAAAATAAAGATTACTTAATTATAAAACAATCAAAAATTGAAAATATATATGAAATAAAAATATGAAACATTGTTTTACTCCTTTTTTTTTATCTTTAATGAAGCGTACTTGTGTCAGGTAAAATAATATCTATTAATACTGAAGAGGTATATTTATACATAAAATCATCATTTTTTTGTAAAATATTATTTCTTTTTTGTATGAATATTCCACTTCCTAATAAAATACCTCTATCTATATCAAATTCAAATTCAAATGATCTTATTTGCACCTTGATTACTTCAAATCTGTAATTACATATCACATAAATATAATATATAATTAGAAAAAGAAAAGAAAAAAGGTGAAGAGAAAATATTTTATGTATTATATATTTCTCATACATTCATACGAAAAATATTATGTTTTTTTTTATTACAATACTCTAAACACATATTTTTATTTTTTGGGAACATAATATATTTTCACAATCATTAAAAGCTTTGATTCTTTATGTATTATTTAGTATAAAAAAATGATTTATTACAAAATTATTATTTTCATGTAGAAAAATATTATGTATAAAATAGACAGAGTTTGAAATGAATATTTATATATATATAAAAAAAAAAAAAAAAAAAAAAAAAAAATGAATGCTTACCTTATTATAACTTCACATTGAGGAGGCAGGTTATGTTTAAAATTAAAGTAGTAATAGTTTCCATTACTTGACGAGTTTTTATGTATGTCAAAATTACTAAATTTAACATCAAATCGTTTAATTGCATTATGCCCAAAATATATAAAGTCACATTGTTTTTTCAATTTATTGTCTTCATTAGAATACTTCCCTTGAATCATTATAGTATGGAGCAATGGTGATAAATAATATGGTAATTTATCAACGAATAAAAAATCGCTATTATGTTTTTTATTTAAATTTTGAAATATATATAATAATGAACTCTGTTTCTTTTTTATATCAGCTGTTATTATGCTATTTGCTTCTTCTTTGATTACGTTAACATTTATATATTCTTCTATAATATTGTATTTTTCGTTTTGCAGAATGTTGTATAAATTTATATTTTCATATACCAAATCTATCTTTCCATATTTTTCCAAAATTGTTGCAATAAAATTATCTTTTTTTTTTTTAACCATTAATGCTGTTCTATCTATTAATGGACATTCATTCAAATTATATTTACTATTTACCAAATCTATTATCTTTATATCTTTTTTGTGATCATGTGTTGTAATATAATCAACATACATAACTAAATAATTTTCATTATCATCATTTAACTCAAAGCCTATATTACTAGAAAGTTTCGATATTAAATATGAGGGACTTACAGAATTAAATAACCCTCCAAAGTTTTTGCAGGGATAAAGTTTCTTAATTAATGAAAAACTTTCAGTACAAATACTTTCATCAGGTAAAAATGCAAAAATTTCATTATTTACTTTAATCAAATCTTTTATTTTCAAAAGGTTAGTTGACACACCCGTAATAGACCAAATATCATTTAATAGTTGTCGTAGAAGGAATACTTCCTCATTTGAAAATTCATCATATTCATTTCTTTTAGAAAAATTATTTTTATTTTTTTCTCTTTTTTTTAATTCCACTACAAGAGTAAAACCAAAAGGATAAGAATCCAAATATTTATTATTATAAATATTTCTATACACACCTCTTTTTATATTAATTTTAAGTGACTTTACATAATTAAATATTTTTAATATATTTAAAGGAAGAAATTGCTTATAATCTTTTCCATTAATATTCAATTTTATTTTAATATGTACCAAATTATTATCTAGAGGTATTAAATTAATACTTTCATCTATTACATAGGAATTAACTAATGAAGTAAAACAAAAAATAACAAAAATAATGAATTTTACACTTTTCATTTGAATTTGCAATTTTCCAGTAATGTTATGTTTTTCTTATAACTTTTATTATTTTAATTTTTTTTTTAACAAGAAGAAACATTAAATTTTTTTTAGTTTTTGTTCTAAATTTTTTTATAACTTAAAAATTATAAAAATATATTCTTATGAATACTAAAAACTCAAAAAAAAAAAAAAAAAATTTTTTTTGTATCACTATTTTTAATTTATATATTATTATGAATTTATACATTCATCTTATTAAGCACGAAATTTAAAAAAAAAAAATTAAAAGAGGTAAAACTTAAGGGAAAATTAATAGTTTCTAATAAATATTATTTTTAATTTATGATGATTTAATTTTTTCTAGTAAAAAAAAATTCTTAAAGTTTTATAAAGGTAAATCAAATATTCTTAATCCTTTTTTTTTGTGAAAATCTTTTTATTTTTTTCCTTTTTATCTTTTTACATTTTTTTGTGTCATAATTAATGTAATACGATAAAATATCTTTTATATTTGGAACATTTTCTTTGATAAAAATTCCAATCTAAAATGAAAACGAAAAAAAAAATTTAACGTATATTGAAATTTATGTAAGAGAAAAAAAAGAAGATGATTCAAATAATATTCAAGTAAAAGAATTATTAATTTCAACGTACTTTTTTATATAAATTTTTATTTCTTTCACTTAGGTATTTGTCTACATAAGGATGACAAAATCTATTTTGCGCTTCTCCAGAACTATTCATCTTTATGTAAGGTGGATAATACCAATAATTAAATGCTAAATGATCTAAAAAAAAACACATAAAATAAAACATATATGAAATATTTAAACTTTAAAAATAACATATAAAAAAATATGTATATAATATATTTTTTATTTGATATGATAATTTATAATACATTTTTCTCCTGAAAATGATTTGACTTCATGAAACCACCCACAAGGCAAATATACTGTTAAGAAACAATTTAGAGAAAAAAAAAAAATATATAATTTATAACATTATTTATATGTTATCATTATTATAATATTTATAATATATTATGAAAATTGTTTCCTTTTTTTTAACATATATCTTCTTCATTCATGCACACTTCAATGTATTTCTGTTTTATATCTGTGTTATCATTAAATATATCAAGTTCTAAAAATTTGAAAAAATGGAAAAAATAAAATTTTTTTTAATGTTTTAATTTAATTTAATTATAAATTATACAGTAATGAAGAAAAGAAAAAAACTACTCTAACCATATTTTCTCTCAGTAGTATTGAGAATACAAAAATGGTTTGGAATATCATTTCTTTTTTTTTCTTTGTATTGAAATTTAGATTTACGTAATTTATAATCTAAAATATTGTTCTCCAATTTATTTAATCTAAATATAAAAAGAATATATGTATTTTTAAATAGAGTATTACGTTATTTTTCATTTAATTTTTTTCTTTATATATATTTTGTACATACTTTTTTTCTGCTTTATTTATGCACTTTTCTATTATTTTATCTTCTATTAAATTGTCTTAAAAAAAGTAAAAATATGAATAATTTATAAGAAAAAATAAAATCTTATAAAAAATTAGGTATTTAAATGATCAATGATGAGTTATTTTTTTCTACTTTCTTTGTTTAAATGCTCATTCATTGTATTGATATCACTATATACTTTATCTATCTTTTTTTTGTATACATCAAAATAATGTGATCCTAAAGTAAAAATTATATATATATACATTATTTTATCTCATTTATTGTATTCTTCTTTTTATTATTACCATCACTTCTAATAAATGGAGAATAGGTAATTAATCCATTGTTATAAATACGATTGATATTTCCTTTTGAAATTTTTTTTAAAATATAATAATAAAATGATTTATGCGGTAAAAAATTGTTTAAAAAAAAAAAAAAATTAAATTACGTATATTAAAATAAATGAATTTACCATTTGTTTTTAAATCATAAGCAAAATTTGGGCTATATATTCGAAATATTTTCTTCCCTAAAAGAGTTACATATGGAAAAAAAAAAAAAAAATGCTAATTCTTAGATATAATTAATAAAAAATTAATATTCATTTTAGAACCTTTTAGTAAAACATAAATATTATCATGATAATCATGATGCAAAAATGTTTTTAAATTTTTGTCTTCATTATTTCCCAACCAAATGTTGTATTGATAAATTTCTAAATTACTAAAAAAATATATAAAATGTAAACGCAAAAAATTACAAACAACAAAAGGAAAAAAAAAAAAAAAATAAAGTCTATTTACCCCATTATCTTTAATTTTTTTGGCAGGAAATTTATCATTTGGCGTGTAATTGAATTGCAAAAATCAGTTGGACCATATGGATTTTCTTTTATATATTGTGTATTCAAATAATAATTACTATCTCCTTTTTCTATTAGAGATAAAAATTTATGAAATTTCATTTTTTTTTTTTTTCCTATCCCGAAAGAATTTGATACTTTTTGTTCTAATTCAACATATGAATTTTCTACATTTTCTTTCATAAAATTTATATCTATATTGCATCTCTCTCCAATTATATATTCACTAAAAAAAAAATAATTTTACATATTAAAAGATTGAAATGTATATATCAAAAAGTGTATTATTGTATTAGGTAAGAAAAATATATAATGTAAAAATTCTTCACACCTTTTTAATAAACATGGTTTTCTTTTTAAAACGTAATCCAAATAAAATTGTTCAGCACTAATGTTTTTATCAATTCTATCAATTTTATTTAATTTTTGTTTATGGAAACAAAACCTAGGTTATTAATAAAACATTAAATATTTTTAATTTTAATTTTTGTCTTATAATTACTAAAATTTTTTTCTTTAAATATTAAAATCTTATAAAAATTACCCAGAATATTCATTTTTTAAAGCCATTTTCGTTTTGTAAGATTTTCATAACTAATTTTTAAAATATAAAATAATATGTTATTATTCTAAAGAAAAAAATAAACAAATAAATTTTATGTATACATAAAAGTTTTCAAAACTATTTTATATTTTTGATTTAAAATATTATTTTGTTTCTATGTATTATAGAATCAATTAGAAGTGTTATTTTCTATATTTAACATTAAAAAATAAGAAAATTTTTCACAAAAAAAATATTTTTATCCTTTTGATTGGATTTTCTTTTTTTCTTGTGCTTACTAATTTGGGTAATTAAATACTAAAAATAAAAATTGATAACTACAAAAAATAAAAATATAGAACACTTTTTTGAACAAAATATTTTTAAATACATCAAGCTTTTAAAAATTCATGTTAATTATAAAATTATAATACTCAGTTTTTTTTATATAGTTTATTACAAATATTTAAGAATGAAAAACTTTTTTCTTTTTTAAATACAAAAAAAAAAAAAAAAATTAAGTTTTAATTTTTCTAATACATGTGATTAAAAGATTGATGCTAATTAAAAGTGTTTGATATTATACTTAAGCTATTAAATTAAAATCATATAATGAGATTTACATTTATTTAAATGAAATAATAAATTTACTTTTAGTTTTTTTTTTTTCAAAATTTTTTGAATTAAAATAAAGAAATAAGATATATTTTTCACTGTAACATACTTTTTACTTTTTTTATTATTTTATTATATTTTTAATGAAATAACAATATGATAAAAAATATAATTGTCAAATTTTCATTTATGCATTTTTTTCTTTTCATTTATTAAAATATGTAGTATAACAATGATATAATATTTTTATATTAATGTTCAGTTTTGGGGTAATTATTTGTTTTTGTTAATTATATTATTTACTATTGTGCTTTTTAAATAAATTAAAAAAAGTTAACATTGGATATACAATAAAAACAGAAAATTTGGGAATTATTTAATTACTTTTTAATATATTTTTTTTTTAATATAATATATTTCCAAAAAGAATTATTTCTCTATTGATAATAAAAATTTTAAATATATGTTGTATATTTGTCTAAATATTGAACAAGAAAGTTAAAAGAAATGATTGGCACATTTGAATGTATATCTATAGTTATTATTTCATTATTTTTTATAAAAATATATAAACACTTTAATAAAAAGAAAATTGGAAAAGATGATTTAACAATTGGAAAACATGGGACAGTTTCTTTATCATCAAATTTAAAAGTTGACATAATATGCGATATAACAAATAACTTCGGAAAATATTATGCTAAAGAAGCTATAAAAAAAAAAAATATAGTATGCATAATTCCTGTACATAAAAATTATAATAAAGAATATGAAAATGTTGACAATTTTAATGAGTTTATGGCCGAATTTTTTAAATTTTTAGATATAAAAAATGGAAAACTAATATTAGCAAGCGAGAATAATTGTTTAAATGATTACTTGCACATTACTCCTGAATATGAAGATGATGACCAAATAATATTAGCCTCATGTATTATTAATAAAAATATATCAATAATTGTTTGTGTTATTAATTATGATAAGGATATTGAAAATCAACTTGATTATTATTTAAAGAATAAAAAAATTGATTTTTGTGCAGTTATAAATAATTTATTTTTAAATAATATAAATTATTCCAGAGATGAAAATATAGAGGTAATAGGGGAAAAATGTTCATTTATTCCTAATGGAGAATTTAATGATCTTTTCAATTTTTTTGGTTTCATGAATGTTAAGAAAGAATTTTTACTTGATTTATATTCAATTATACTAATAAATACAAAAAATTATATGTATTTTTACAAAATTTTAGGAAATTTAAATTCAGGAACATTTTTAAATGCACATATATATGACAATCTTACTTATTCAAATATATATAATTCCTTAATGGATATACATCATAATTTAATTTGTGAAAAAGCAAAAAAAGATAAAAAAATTCAAGTTAAAAAATTTTATACATTTTGTTGTCTTAAGTGTGATTATAAGAAAATAGTAAAATTTACTTTGATGAAGTTAGAAAATAATTTGTTCTTATTTTATTTCTATAATATTTATTCTTATTTTTACTGCCAATTAGTTTTATATTTTGTAGGAAAAAAATGATTATAGCTTTTTTATCTTTCTAAATTTCTATCATATTTTGTTTTTGTAAAGTATTATTCTGTAAAAAGATAAGCTTTTATATTTAATAAGGTTAAAAATTAAAATAAAAAATATTTTATTTATTTCTGTTTAATATTATTTTATGAACTTTTTTTTTAATTTAAAGAAAATTAATTCATTTACTAGAAGTATAAAAATATATTATTACTTGTATAAATTAGCCTTTTCCATCTTTATTAACTATATATGCGTATTTTAAATGCATATAATATGTTTTAATTATTGAATATTTTCTTATATATTACGACATTTATATGGTATTAAAGTATATAAAAAATTTAATAACAATTAGTTGATTATTTAAATAAGAAATAAAATTGCATTAAAGTTTTTAAGTCTTCCAAAAATAAGGCAAATTTAAAAGAAAAAGATGATGCAAAAAAGTTAAATTTTGTTAATATTTAAAAAAAAATATGTATATATGATATAAAATATAATTTGAATAATTTTTTGTTTATTTTGCTAAAGCTCATGAATTTTAAAAAAATTCTTATTTTTTTTTAGTTATATAATTTTGTATTAAGTATTATTGTTATTTGCACTATGAAAATTTATTATATTTTAATAGAAGTATAAAAATTTTTAAAATTTTCGTCATATTTTTAAAATTTTTAACGATCAATGCTTCTATTTTTCACATGAATTCCTGCAACTTTTGAAAAACATAATAATTCAGAAATTTTCCAAAAAAAAAAATTTCAATTAAAAAATAGATAATAACGATGTAAGATGATTCATCTTTCTTACAAGTTTTCTTTAGCATTAACGTGATTTAAGAATCAAATTATAAGAAAAAAAAAAAAAAAATAAAAAGGAAAAAAAGAACATTTAATACAAATATCATAAAAAATTTAACTTAATTTTCCTCAAAAATAAATGAATTTTTTTTTTTTTTTTTGTAAATATTTATAGCTTTATATATATAATATATTAACATATTTTAATTTTAAAATAGAGAATGTTAAAATATGGAAAAATCTTTAGAAACCGCTAATGTTAAAAATTTTGAAAAAAAAAAGGAGAAAAAAATAAATGAGGAAGAAATTTATAATGAGGCACGAAATGAAGAAAGTATAAATGAAAACACAAATAGTAAAAATATAGCAAGTGAAGAACAATCGAATGTAACTATATCTGATAATAATTCTCAAAATGTAGAAAAAAAACTGTTATCTAATAACCTCATTAAAAAATTCAAAGTAAAAATTGACACAAATGAAGAAATAAATATTTTAAGTAAGAATGAATCATTATCAAGTAATGAAAAAAAAAATGTTACTTTAAAAGAATACAATGTTCAGGTAGAAGTAAATAATAATAAAATTGATAAAAATGAAATAAATATATCATTAGTTAACAATAAAGATGAAAAATATGAAAATACGATAAGAAATAATAAAAGAAAGATTAATGATGAAACCAAAGAATTAACTCCCAAAAAATTAAAAATTGAAAACATTGAAAATGGTTGTGAATTAAGTTTACCAGCTAAAATAAATAGTAGTATTTTTTATAGTGAAAATAATATACAATCATATATGAGGAAAATAAAAAATAATTTTAAATTATATTGGAAAGAATGTGATTACCATTTAAAAGAATTGCAAAAAAATTTTATGGAAAATGAGAAATTAATCAAGGATATCATTTGTGAAAATAGTAATGTAATAAATAACAAATATATAGATAATGAAATGGAAGAAAAAATGAAAACAAAAATAGAAAGAAAAAGAAAAATATTGAGTAACATTATGAACATAAGATTGATTTATAGGATTATTGAGATGTATTTATTTACTATGAGACAATTTTCTTATTTATTAAAAGAAATTAATGATTATATTTGTCTTATTTTAGACGAACATAAAATAATGAAAAATAATTATGAAATGGTAATTGGAAATTTATTGAAATTCGAAGCAAAAAATTATGAAGACGTAAAATATACAATAGAAAAAAAAATTTTACGTATGCAAGAATTTTTTAAAAACAAAAATGAAAGTATATATTCAAGAGATGAGTTTTCTTATTTATATACTTTGAAATGCTTACAACATGAAATCTCAGAACGTGTTGATGCGAAAACTGATTTACGATTGTTAATGATAAAGAAGAGAGAATATTCTGAAAAGTTTATGAAAGAAAACCAAAGAAAAATTATTTCATTTGATAAATTATCGTCATTTAAAAAAAGTATTAAATGTATTATTGATAAGTATAGCTCATTAGATATAGAACTTTCAAAATATTTATCAACTTTCTATTATAAAATTTTTAATCATCAAATTGAGTTGAACATAAACAACGTTTCAATTTTAAATAATAAAAAACCATTTAATTTTTTGTTTCCTTTTAAAGATCAAAGTAATAATAATGATGTTTTTAATTATATGAATTATGATGCTATTACTAAAATCAGAAAAAATAATGGAAATTCCCATAATTGTAAGGAAATTCACAGTGAATATATAGCTTTAAAATTTTATACAAAGGATAATTTTGATATTTCCATTTTACCTGACTTAAAATATCTTAGTTATTTAAATGTAGAAATAGAAATATCCTATTTATACAGTAGTGATTGCTTAGTTGCAAAAACCAATTCTATCGAATTCATAGGTTTGCATAATGGACGTAAATTATTATCGGATATTTACAGCAATCAAGATCATTTTCTTCTATTTTCTAAAGATATAAATGATTTCCAAAATTTTAAATATGGTTTTCCTTTTTTATGGCTGAATGCAATGGCAGAAAAACCATATGTATTAGATATAGAAAATGAAATATCTCAAAAAGATGAATCAAACAAAAAAAATGAAAATAATAATACAGAAAATTTTCAGAATAATAATTTTGATAAAAAAAAGTTGTTAGATATATATAATTGGCATTTAAATAGAACTTTAGATATATCTGTTCTTTTTTCAAAAATATTTACAAGAAGTAAAAAAAATAAAAAAAAAGATATGTATATGCATAAATGGTTGAAAAATGATAACCTAATTTTTTTTTTTTTTTAATTATATATTTATTAAATATGTATTTATACATTGTATATATATATTTTTAATTCATTAGTTTTATTTAGAATATGGGATATTTGGCAAATTCGACATTACAAGTAAAATTTAATTAATATTTCTAAAAATTAAAAAATATATTTTTATTAATATTATTATACTTTTGCATATTAAATTTTTGTGTGTAGATATTACCCAAATGTTTTTCCTCCTTTTACCTATGAAAAACATCTTGAAGCTTTAAAGAAAATTCAATCAGTTTCATTACAGCAGATATCCTATTTTGATATAATAACAGAAGAATCCTATTTAAAAGAGGAAACTGAAAATATTAATGTAACCTTTCTTTTTATAACACTGTTTATAATTATATATATTTTATATGGGCATTTCATTTTTATCATTTTATGAAGAAATTTCGTTTTTTCTATTATTTTGTATTTTTATATTTTTAAGAATTTTTATTTTTTTTGATTATATATTCTTTGATATAACTTTATTGAATTATTATTTTTATATAGGGATGTGGCAAAGATAATATATATGCCTGCTGCTTTATTCAATTATATGAATCTTGTTTAGTAAAAGCATTTATTAGTATTCCTTTCAATGGAAAGTAAAATTAAATCTTAAGAAAAAAAAAGAGAAATAGTTTTCCTATAAATTAATATCAATAAATATTAATTTACATATTCGTATAAACATATTTTTCTCTTTACCATTTATAGAGAACCTTATTTTAGTGTATTTTTAACAAAAAAAAAATATTCAAGAAGACTAAAAGTAATAATTTAAAGGAAACTTAAAATATGTTTACACCCTTTATATAAATAGCTACAATTTCTTTTTTCTTTTTTTTTTTTTTGAAGAAATTGCAAGATTATTTGAACACAACAGTTGTAAATAAGCATTCTAAAGTTGAAGATACGCAAAGACAAATTATATTAACTTTACAACTAGCAAAATTAAGGGTTTGAAACAAATTTCTTATATATAATTATTTTAAAAAGTTTTTAATTTAATTCATAATTTATCTCCATTTTAATATTTTTATAGGAAGGAGCACATAAATACTTTAAATCATTTAGTAAAAATTCAACAATGACATTTGATGAAGACATCAGTTAATCATATACATACACTTCTATTTTGTATTTTAAGGAATTTAGTACAAACATTTTTAAAAAAAGATAAATATTTGTTAAATTATGAGCTTGTCTTCAATTATTTATTTTTTTATTCTTATAAATATATTAGTTTTTTTTTTTTTTTTTTTTTTTTTAAATACGTAAACATTCATTATTTGTAATTTATTTTAATAAGCCTAATTATATTTAGTTATTTCAATTTTTTTTTTTTTTTTTAAATTCTTCGAATCTATAATAATTAAAATACATTAAGTTTGTAAAAAAATATTTGTGCAAAAAAAAAAAAAAAAAAAAAAATTTTGAAAAAAGGTTTTCTCAGAACATTTAAACAATATAATTTTTTTTTTTTAATATTTTATAATAATGTTCTCGTAAAATTCAAAATTTAAAAGAAAATAAAAAAAAATAAAATATTATGATGCTTTAACGATAATAAATATATTATTATTTTTTAAGTATTTCAAAGTGAAATATTATAAACTATGAAAAATATAATAAAAAAAAAAAAAAAAAAAAAAAAAAAAAATAAAAAAAAAAAAAAAAAAAAAAAAAAAAAATTAAAAAAAATAAGTAAAATAAAAAACAAAATAAAATAAAATAATGCATAATAAAGATCTTATAATAATTCATAACAGTATATATATATATATGTATGTTAGTTTATCAAAAGTTTATTTCAATTAAAAAAAAAAAAAAAAATGCAAAATTTTGTTAACTTGGGTCATATAAGAACTAATAATGCAATTTCAGAGAACCATAATAAAGAATTGAAAAATATTGAAGAAATTAGTAAAATTGATGAAAATAATGAGAATAATAATGATAAAAACTGTTTAGTAAATGAAAATATACATGATGATACATCTAATATATGTAATAATAGAATTGATGAAAAACACACAATAACACATTCAAAGACAAAAGATATTGTTGATAAAAATTTTCTTATTTATTCATCTAATTATTTAAGCAATAATAGAACTGGGGAAATTTTAAATAATGATGTATTAAACACAAAAAACTTAGAAGAAGCTGTTAATAGAAGAAGAAAAATTAGAGAAATGATATCAGCATATAATTCATTAAACTTATCTAGTTGTGATTTAAATAACGTAGATATTCAAAAAAAAATATCATTACATAATTTTGAATACAATAATAATGAAGATGATAAATGCGAAAGTGCTCATAAGAGTAATGAAATAAAACAAAACTATTCAGATAAATTTGATAAAAACCAAAATATGAAGGATAATAATCTTAATTATGATTCAAGTATCACATGTAAAAATAATGTATTATCATTAAATAATTATTCCAATAACTGTAATAAAGATATTATAAAAGCAAGGATAAGTGAAAATATACTAAATAAATCATTTATTAATGATGATGATGAAATAGATGATTACAAAACATTTTTAACACTTGATAGTAATCAAACCATCTTTAAGAAAAAACCTCTTAAACTTCCAGATATTTCATTTCTTAATAGTAAAAGTAGGAATTATAATTCCATATGTAATAATAATAATGATGATGATAGTAATAATGATATTCTAAGAAAGAAAATAATTTATGAAAAGTTAGATTTATCATCATCTTATTATGAAGACAATCAAAATATGAGTTTTGCATCTCAATATAATAGTGAACATTCTGCCATACAAAAAAGAGCAGGTATAAATGAATTTAATAAAAATTATGTAAATAACAACTTTAATTTTCATGAATTGAAAAATGAAAGTAAAAATAATATAGTTAAGAATTATATAAAAATCAATAAAGTAGAAAATTCAAATATAGAACAATTAATTAATAATAATATAAGTAATTCTAATAATTATGTAGATAATAAAGTTAAACGTTATGCACAAAAGAATTTAAAAGAAAATAATTATGAAAATAAATTATTACCTAAAAATGCTTTTGATATTTCCTATTTTAAATATTCTACTCTACATAATAGTAGAAAAACTAGTGATATAAATAATAATATACATAATAGTATAATAAAAACTAAAAATGAAGAAAATACAAAATTTATGAATGAAATTAGTAATACAAGTATCATCTATCCATCTGAAAATAAATGTAGTAATATATCTGAAAATGTAAGTAAAAAAGAACATAACATTTATAGTAATAGTAAGTATGCGAATACATATGATGAAAATATAAATGATAAAGTAAATTTTACTCTTGAAGAGAAAGCTTATATGAACTCCTCATATATTAAAAATTTAGAAAAGTTTAAAGAATTATTATTTAATGCAACGAAAGATAATTTAAATGAGTATATAAAATGCTTACAAAATATTAATAATAAGAAATTAAAAAATTATAAATATTATGTTAAACAAGTAAATAACTATAATATAAGTCAATATTTAAATACTACTTTTAAAGCATCTGTTCCTCAAAAAAATATTAAAGAATCGATGCTGAATAATTCAGATACATTTTCTTCGATACAAAAATGCATAAATGAAAGTGATGATTTAAGTACAACAACTTATAGTGACAATAGTAGCAGTAGTAATTTTGAATACAAAGATTTAATAAATAGTAATAATAACAATAATAATTTTAGTTTGAAAATTTATAAAGGCAAAAAAAAATCTCATTTAAAGAATACAAGTACATTATCAACCACTCCTACTAATGAAATTAATTCATGTTCTGAAAAAGTAAAAAATAAAATAAGCTTTAGTTTATTAAATAAAAATAAAGAAAAGAAATATGATAAAAGTAGTTATAATAATGTTAGACCAAAAATGTCAACTGTTGTAATTAATAAAAATGATTTTCTAAATATTAAAGAAAATCATTCTTATAATTTAAAAAGATTAGATAATTTAAATGTAAAAAAAATAAAAAAAGACGAGGATTTAGATAAAAATGATAGTTTTAAAAATAACTATATTAATAAAACTTTAAAAAAAAATAGTTTGTATGAAACTTTAGGGAAATATATTACTGAGGAAAAACTTTACAATTCTGATTATGCAAAAAATTATAATAATTATGATAAAAATAGTTTTAAAGAATATGAATATATACATTCTTTAAAAAAAAAAGAGAAAAAAAAAAAAAAAAAATATATCAATAATAGTATTTATGTATATAATTCTAAAAATAAAAATAAATATTATTTTCCTTTTAATACAGATTCTGAAGATTATATTAAGCAAGTAAATGATTCATCTCTTTCTATGTTACAAAGTAATTCATGCGAAAATAATTACAAAGAACTATTATCTAATGAAGAATTAAACAAATCAAATAATCAAACCAATAATACTACAAAAAATAAAAATGTATTACATATGAATAATCTTGATAATAACAAATATGAAAAATGTAATTACCATGAGTCAGATAAGTCCCTAAGACAATCATCCATTAATTGCACAGATGATTTAATAAACAAAAATGTACTGTGTAATATAAATCAAGATAATATGAACGAGAAAAGTTTTTATGAATTTGGAAATATTAGAACCAATGAGATTATTAATGTAAATAATAGCTATGAAAAAAATAGGAATAATATAAATAAAGAAGATTTTAGTAACATAAATTTTTTAAAGAATGGAAATTCTATTAATATTCATGATAATATTTCGAAGAATAAAAAAACGGAAAGTGATGATATGTTGTATACACAAAATCATGCTTATATGAATAACATTAATGACAATTATTTAAATGAAAAAAAAAAATTATTTTTGATAAAAAAAAATTCAGAAGATTTTCCTATGTGTGATGAAAAATTAATCAAAACAGATTCTGTAAATAGAGAACATAATTATATTTCATATAAAGATTATAACTTAAATAAAAATTCATTTTATTTTAATAATGCAAATAGCAAAAATAAATTAAATGATATTATGAGAAAAAATGAAAATATTTTAATGAATAATATAAAAAGAGAAGACCTCAATAATTCTATATGTGAAAATAAAAAAGAAAAGGAGAATGAAAGCATTGATGTTTTAAATTTTAATTTTCAAAATAATCTACATAATAATGTCAACTTAAGTAAAAACAAATTCGAAGTATCAAATAATATTCAAGAATATCATCATAATTGCGAATTTCCTGAACATGTAAATAAAAATTTAGGAAAAGATATTAAAGAAATCATGAAAAATAACAAAACAAGAATAGAAAATATATATGATAATGAAGAAAATCAAAATGATCTTTATTTAAGTGAAAATACAAGTGAAATGAAATATAATATAAATGAAAATACAGATGATAATAAAACAGTTCATCCATCTTTAAACAAATTTGATTACTTTTATAAATCTATAAAGGAAAATTCTTTTTCCACTAACTCATGTAATGGAGGTATTGAAAATGAAAGTGTTATCAGATGTTCACTTGATAGTTTTAATGAAGAATTTGATAATCCAATTTCAGCACCTACACCCGCAGCGTCTAGTTTTTCTAATATAAGCTTAAGCTCATCATGCAATAAAAATTTTAACAAATGGAATATATTAAACATAAATAATAATCAAACTAATAATATAAATGAAATTCATAATCATTTGAATAATCAAAGCTATTATGCGAACATTGAGAAGTTCAAAAAAGATAATTTATATAATTATAACAACAATCGTAAAATTAACTCTGATAAAAGTAACACTGATAATGAAAATTACAATAATAGTAATGAGAAAAACATAAATGTAAATTCATTAAATGATAAGAATATGAATAATATTTATGAAAATTATATACATGAGAACAATAATAATAAAGATAAATGTTCTTATTTTGTTAATAATTCTATTAATAAAAAATATGAAAAATCAGATGTTTCTACAGATCTTTTAAAAAATAACACAAATTATATAGAACATAATTTTGATTTTATGAATAATAAAAAAGGTAATGATAATTCACAAATATCAGTAGATAAAAAATATATCCATTTCACTAATTCTTTTAAAAATAACGTAAATAAAAAAAATATTTTTGATACATTAAGTGAAAGTAGTATAAATAATAGAAAAAGTGTAAATAGCATTATAACAAATAATATAAACAATTTGGATAAAAATTTTATTCATAATAATGAAAACCTTATTAATCCAAAATCATTATATAAAGAGATAGACAACAATTATTCTTCTAAAAAAAACAATTCATTTGAAACGTTAAATAATAATTTAATAAATTTAACAGAGCCAAATTGGAATTATAAAAAAACAGATAAAAATAATACTAGAAAAATAGTAAATACATTAGAAATAAAAAACATAAAGATAAACACAAAACAGGGAATATTTGAAATAACACCTACTGGAGAAGTAATTTTTACATTTTTAGGAAGATCAGAAATCAAAAAATATAAAAATGTAAAAAAAAAAAATATTAATATAGATATATCAAAGCCAAGAAAATTATTATTTATAATTGAAATAGATGGAATAAATATCAAAATAAAAGACCTATTAATGAATGAAATTCTAGACTACTATAATATATTTGAAGAGGAATTGCCAAAAGCACACAATGCAAGATATGAATATGCATATAATGTAATTGAAACGTTAAAAAAGCATACACCTAAAGTGTCTTTAAAAAAAAAATGGTTTGGTATATATAATTTAATGAGTAACGGAAGTACTCCTGATTTTACTGCTATACTTAACAACAATATGTTTATTGAAAAAGTTGAAATTAAAAACAATCATGTAACATTTATTTTAAAAGATAGAACTAGTATAACTTTACACATTGATGATTTAAATGGAATAACTACAAACTTTACTAAAAAAACAATAGAAAAAAAAGAAAAAATTGAAAATAATATTAAAGAAAAAGATAATTTTATAAAGGAAATGAAAGGAGATAATGAAGATATAAAAGTAATTTTAATGAATTTGCAAAAATTATTACAAAAGACAGGAGTATCTATTGATATAATTATTCAAAATTGGTGTGATACTTTACATGCCTATTCTTATTGTCTTAATTTATTAACAAAAGGAAATACAGAATATACATTGAAACTAAAAAAAACATTAGCATATATAACAGAAAAAACTGAAATTCACAAAAGGAACATTTATTTTTCCATATTTCCAATAATAGTAGAAGAATGAAAGAAAACTATAACTCTATCATATGAATAATTTTGTTCTTTTTTTTATAGTACTTTAATATATATATCTATATTTTTTTTTTTTTTTCATATAAATAATTTTTTTTTTTTATAGTTTTTTATGAAGTCTTCACATTTGTCTTAATACTTATATATATATATATATATATATATATATATTAATTATTTGTCCTTTTAAGGTTTTTTTTTAAATAATAAAAATGTATAAAAAAAAAAATAATGATAAAATAAATTACATGGAATTCTATGTACTTCAATTTTATTAAGTTGTTTTAGTCTATTATTTTTATGAAATTTTCTTTTTTATAAAATGACCATTATGAATAAAGATGCATAATAATGATTTATGAATTTTTTTTTTTTTTTTTTTTTTTCTTTGAACCTATAATATTTTCATAGTGTGCGCTTTTATATATAAAAGAATACTAATTTTAATAAGATATACCTAAAAAATTTAAAAATAATGTTTTAGTATGATAAACTAAAAAATGATAAAATATATAAAAATAATAGAAAAGCAAATTTAATACAGTAATTCTTCTTTATTAATTTTTTTTATTATTTTTATAATATTTATTTTAAAAAATTCTTATAAAAAAAAAATAATATTTTCTTCTAAATTTATAAGCGAAGTTTTTTCCAATTTAATAAGGATAAATTAAAATATATATGAAGCTATAAAAAATGAAAATATATTTTATAATTTTTTTTTCTTTAAATTTTCTACATAATTTCTTGTTATGAAACTTTTTATTTAAAATAACATATTTATGTTAATTATTAATTTAACAAAAAATAATTGTATTTAAAAAAAAAAATGGAAAATACGAGAATATATGGACTTGAATTCAAACCAACAATTGAATTTGATAACTATGAAGGAGGTGTAAAATTAACAAGAAGACTAAATATAAGGAATACAACTAAAAATATAATAAGGTTTAGATTTTTATTTCAAAGTAGCTCTTATTTTACTTTTCCATTGCAAGAACTAGAAAACATTAGCCCTGGTTTAAACAAAAGTTATTCCATAAGTTTTTTAAACCCGCTAAATGATTTTCAAACAATTTGTGAAGAATTAAGTATAGTAATAGATGACAATGAAAAAGATAAAAAAATATTCATAAAATTAAAAGCTACTCCTTTAAAATGTGACATAATTTTCCCATCTATATTAAATTTTAAAGAGATGGTAATAAATCAAAAAAATAAGGAAGAATTAGTTATAAAAAATGAAGGTTCGTTAAATGCAATTGTTAAATTGTCATATAAAAACTTATCTAAGGAAAGAAAACTAAAAATTAAATTAAGTTCATCTCAATTTTTTTTGAAAAAAAATGAAAAAAAATTAGTTGAATTAACCATATATTCAGAAATTCCTAAAAAATATAAAGAATTTATATTATGCTCTATCATAGAATTGCCTAAACAACTAGAAAAACAAATTTATTCCGAAAAAGATGATAAATTGAATAAAACTATGAATCCGTATGAAAACGAAGAAAAAAGTATAAATGACATAATACAATTATTAAACGAAGAAAATATAAAAGTACGCTTAATCAAAAAAAAAATTGAAATAAATTGGATTTCAGTTTTACCACAGATTGATATTATGTGGGAAAAAGACAAAGAAATATTTGATAAAAATGTAATAAATTTTGGCCAAATAACATTAGGACAGAAACTTACTAAAACAATATTTTTACAAAATCTAGCTAATGCACCAATTCAAATAACAGTAATTGTTTTTTCTTTGATACACACATACAATTATAATATTAATTTGCATAAGAATTTTGTTTATCTTAAATTATTTCTATATACAATACTTTTTATTTTGGAAATTTTCATTTTTTTTTTTTATATTCAGCTATTTTTTTCTTTTTTATTTTTATTTTTTTTTTTTTTTTATTAAAAGGCTAGAAAAAAAAAAGAAAACAGCGTTTTTACTTTTTTAAATGAAAAATTTATATTGAAAGAAAAATCAAAAGAGGAAATAATTTTAAACATTGATGGCAATAATCCTGTTAATACCTATACAGAAATAATTCGTTTTACAGCGTGTAACGATTATTACATTGAGTTGTTTTTAATATGTGAAATTAAAAATGTAAAATTATCTTTCTCAAAGACAATTTATATATTTGAAAACATAAAATTAGGAGATAACATTAATGATAAAATAACCATAAGAAATGATGAAAATATAGATCTTGATATGGAAGTTATAAACACAGGATATTTTATAAATATAAAAAATAAGAAATTTACTATAAAGAAAAATAGTTTTTATTCTTTAAATTTAATATGTGATTGCATTTATCCTATAAATGTTCATAAAAGACTGTATTTTTTGGTTCATTTAAATAAACAAATTTATTATATAGATATTATTTGTAATTTCTCTATAAATTATGAAATGTGCCCTATTTCTATGCATCATATATATAGATATAAGCATTTAATACATGATAAAGAAGAATTATATAACTCTTATTATAAAAAAAATGATTATATTGATATATGGGATTTTCCGGTTGAATTTAATTCTTACAATGAAACTCCATATGAAACGTTAAATGATATAATAGACATAAATGAAAAGTAACCTTAATTATTTTAACTTTAAAATAATATACAAGGACAATTTTTCTATTTAAAATAGATGCTTAAATTATAATAAAAAACACAAATATTTTTATATAAAATTTATTTTTTTTTAAGAGATGTATTCATAGTTCCAAAAGAATTAGAAGTCTTGGAATTTGAAGAAAAAGATTTAATTATTATTAACAAAACATCAATAGAATACACATGTATATGGTCAAATATGTTGGATAGAAAAAGAAAGGATAATAGTATTTTTGAAGTAACACCTATAGAAGCACAGCTTTTACCTTTTAGTTGTCAAAGATTTAAGTAACTTCCTAAATTTATTTGAATGTATTTTTTATTCTTTAATACATATTTCAATTCTTTTTTTTTTCCTAAGAGTTAAAAATATAAAAATTCTAAAGGAGAAATTTGTTCGGGAAATTTACGAATGTATTGTATTCCCATCCAATAACAAAGATTATAGAAAATGCAATAGTAAAACATTATTACCACCTTTGTTTTTATATACAACTTTTTTTCAATTTAAGACAAAGTATTTATGTGAACCTGAGGAAGTAATTGATAATTTACTTTTCTTTCCAAAAAAAATTTTCTTTTTAAACTTGATAGAAGAAGAAAATAACTACGTTATTGCTAAGTTTGAAAATAATACAGATTTTACTCAAATAATTGATTTTACACAATTTAAAAATGATCTTGATGGAATAAAGTAAAAATATAACTTAATATGGAAAATTTTATATATTTAATTATTTATTTAATTTTTTTTTATATTTTATTATTTATTTTAGAATATATCCACTTATAAGTTATGTACCTAAAAATAGTTTTTTAAATGTTCTTATTTTTTATTTTCCCAAAAAAAAAGAATTAACTATATCAGAGAAGAAAATTTACTATTTAGTAAATGGGATTGAAAAAAAGCATATATCTATTTTTGTCTCCCATGAGATTAATAATGTGGTGTTAAACAAAGGAGACTTAAATATAGTAAAAATATGTTTTTTTGTAAGAATACTAATTAAAATATTTCTTTCATTATTTTTTCTTTTTACTGTTTTTTATTTTTATAAAGAATTTACCTCATGTAAGTGTTGATACAAAAAGTATTAAAAAAGTTCCAATTGAAAATTTTACTGAGAGAAATGTCTTATGCTTGTTAGTTAAAGAAGATTCACAAGAAATTGTAAATATTAATATAGAAGGTAAGAAAGATTACAATGTACAAAAAAAGGTTAACAATGAAGAACAATCATATATGGATGAATTTCACGAAGAAACATGGGAAAATAAAGAAATTGAGTTATATAATGAAGAAAATAAAGATAATTTTTATTATTTTTCCTTATTACCTTTTGAAAAAAAAAATATATACTTAACTGCTTGTTGTAATTTTAGTTTCACTGAATCAATACCCATGTTTTTCACTTATTTTACATATATTAATGATATAGATATGAAAAACAAACTTACAAATTTTAAAAAAAATATAAGAAATTATTTCAAAAGTTGCAAAAAATTTCTAATTAACGTTAGCATAGCTAAGTACTCTTTAGCATTGCAACCTAATATAATTGAAAGCAAACCAATCATATGTGGGAAAAAATTTAATGAAAAGGTGACGAATAAATTCCAAAAAAAAAAAAAAAAAAAAAAATATAATAATATTTTTTAATTATGCTAATTTTTATTTTATTTTTAGGTAAGGATATACAATGAACATCCAGTTAAAATAAATTTCAAGATAAAGACGGAAATTTTTCAAATTGACAGCAAAAATTTTTTGGGTATGCTAACTTCTCATATATTATATTCTCTTTTTTTAAATTTTCTTGCATATATTTTTTTTTTTTAAGACCAAGAAGAAATTACAGAGGCAGAAAAAAATATAATAGTAGAGAAGAATGAAGATTCAATAAATTCATGTTCCACCAAATATATCTATGTTAATTTTAATTCTTACAAAAAAGGGCGCTTTGTTTATAGGCTTTTTGTCATAGTAGGAGGTAAAAAACAGAATGCTCATAATAATAAAAAAATTAAAGATAAAAATTTTTTACAAATTAAAAAAGAAAATATTAAAAAATTTTTTTTTCAGAAAATAAGTATGAAGATAAAATAAAAAGTTCATATAAATACATATGTATATATATATATATATATATATATATAATAAAGAATAAAAATAAACAATAAGTTTTTATATAATGAATTGTCACTTTCAGAAGTTGTATTAATATAATACTAAACGTTATTATGCCATATTTTGAGATTGTTGATATAAATGATTTCAAAACTCCCACATCATTATATTGGAATATGACTTCTATTGATCAAATTAATATGTACCTTATAATCAATTTTCTCATCATATTTCATTACCATTATTAACATAGATATAATTTGTTTTTTTATTTTTATTCATAATTAAAATAATTCTAGGTATTTAAAAGAAAACATAACAAAAATAGACAGAAATTACAGGAAAAGCCAAGGGATGAGGAATATGAAAAAGTTATTTAATGAATTTAATTATATAGAATTTAATATTGGAAATAATATATTAAATGAAATAACGTTTATAAATTTAATTTTATACAATCCACTTGATATAACTCTACATGTTCATATAAATACTATAAAATCTTACATTCTTCCTATTTTACCTCCATATGCCAAAAATCAAGAAGAACAGGTAATTTTAATGTATTATATACTAATATATTTAGTTATTACATATAATAAAAAGAATCTTTTTTTTTTTTTTTAATTTAAATGAAATGAATAATTTTTATTTTATAAATTTTTTTTTTACAGCTGGCTCATATTTTATTCGTAGATAACACTTTTAGTAATTATATGAGATGTTTAGACAGCTGTGAAATTAATCCTGCGAAATTTAAGATAAAAGAAAAAAGTACAAAGACTATAACCATACTATATAAGCATAAATACATCGGTTTCCATAATATGCCATTAATTATTGATGTAAAAAATGGAAAAATTGTTCCTCTAAATTTTATTTCTTTCACTTTTCATCCTAAAATTCCCTCTATTTGTTTAATGAATATTAAAGTAAAAACAATAAATAAACACATATATAAATTAAAAATGTTATAAATAATTTGATTAAATCATTGCTATACTTATTTATTTATTTATCTTTTTCCATATATTACTTAAATGCATATTTTAATTTTCTCAAGGATTTGACTCAAAAAGTTTTAGGATTAAAAAATGAATGTATCGTAAATATAGACTTACTAAATGATAGTACACTAGATATATATTATGATATAGAAAAAAACAACAATTTTATAGTTTTAAACCCTAAGGGAGTCATTAAAAAAAGTAGATATGTTTCTATATTTATAATCCTTTCAAATTTAACACAGTCTACAATTGAAGATACCTTGATAATGAATGCACATTTTAAATATTTACAAAAAAATATAGTAATACAAATAAAATAACGTATAAATACATATATATATATATATATATATATATATATATATAATTGTAAAATTAATTTATAGGAATTAAGTAAAATAAAAATGGAGTTAAAATTAAATAGTATATTAGATGATATATACAAAAATGAGCATAAAAAATTTAACATATATACTAATAAATATATTTATAATATTCATAACCAAAATATCAAGACATTTTGTTCAAATTTTCTTCCCTCATATTCTTATATACATGTTAAAAATAAATTATTTTACATTTCACCTAGTTCTATTAATATTTCATGTGCCCCAACGAAGTTAAAAAAAATAAAATAATATATGTATCATTATAAGTATTTAGTTTAAATATAAAAATAATTTTTTTCCCTTTTAATTTTCATTAGTTCTATAATAGAAAGAATTATTGTTATTAAAAATTACTCATCTTTGAATGATTTAAAATTCAAAATTTCTAATAAGAACACATTACCAGAAAATGTTTTAAGAATTTCTCCTAACAAAGGTTAAAAATAATAATACTCCTTTCTGTTAATCAAATATTATTTAATTTTCTTTTATTTTTATATATCAGGAGTTGTGAAAAAAAAGGAACAGCAAATTTTAAGATGTACATTTATTTTAAATGATATATTACTAGATATAGAAGGAAATATTCAAATAGAGTTGAAGTTTATAAATGAAGATTTTTCAGAAGATGAAAACGAAGAAATGAGTCACAAGATTAATAATTCCCCTAATACTATAATTGGTAAATAAAAAAGAATTTTTTATTTATTAAAAATTATATTTTTTTCTAATTTTTTTTTTCTTTTGAATAATTAGAAGAAATATATGAAGACACAAGAGAAGAAAAAGTAAAAAGTGTGGATAATAAAATTTTGCCAGCATCAAAAATAAGAAGAGAAAAAAGGTTTGATGATATAACTTTTACACACGCCCAAAAGATATTTGATAATATTCAAATGTTCAAATATACATATGTAATAATAAAGAAAGATTAAAAATATTAATTAATAAAAAGTATGTTATTTTCAATTTTTTAAAAAAACAAATTTATATATATATAATGAAAAAATAGGACAATATTAATAGTAGTATGCTTCAAAAAGCAATAAGGCGTTTATATGGAGTTAAAAATGGTATTAAAAAAAAAACAAAAATATATATCTAAAATTAAAGAATATGAAACATTATTTATAGGATAATAATATAAATAAAAAAAAATATAATTTATTAATAGATGACATCGATAAAAAAGAAAATCTAAAAGAATCAGAAAAAAAGAGTATTAAAAACCTTTCTAAATTTTATTTTTATATCCATTTGAAGTTGTTTACATGCAATTTCGATGATATAAAAATAGAAACAAAAAATTTTGAGGACTTGGTTAAAACTAATATTTACCCAACTTCGTTGTATTTTAATAAATACATTAATTTACCAGTTCCATTCGAAGGAAAATCAAAAAGTAAAAATATATATATATATATATTTATGTGATTACTACTTATTCATATTTGTTCTCTTTATATTTAAATTCAATTTTAAGGTTTGTTTAAAAGGCAATATTTTAATTTCGATAAATTGGAAAAATTTAAAATTGATGAAGAAGAAGGCATCTATTACAAAAAAAAGACTATTTATGAAAAAAGTTAGAATATATTATGTTACTACATATTTTTCATTTCTTTTGTTGAAAATTTCATCATTTTATAACTTCTTAAATCAAAATTATATAATTTCATTAAATTTTTTTAGAGGACATTTACTGCTATATGTTTGCTGAAATGTTTAAAAGCATAATTGAGAAACATATAAAAAAATACATTATATGCCTCTTTGAGATAAATGAATGCTCAATACAAACAATTGAAAGCATTTTAAACGAAGATTTAATTGATATAATGACCCGTTTGTTTAATATAATAAAAAAATATTAATAAATACAATAAATATACACAAAATAAATTCTATCTATATTATAATAATATATTTTTTTTTCTTTCTTTTTAAGGAAATAAAAGAATAGATTCAAATTTTCAAATGGAACATGATTATGAATTTTTGAATCCAACAATTTTATCCCATTTTTTTTCAGACATTTTTTCAGATATTATTAATACCCTTATAAAAGAAAAGATTATATTTCCAGAAAAGTTAAATTAAAAGATTCTATAAAATGAAATGTTTATTAAAAAAAAAAAAAAAAAAAAAAAAAAAAAGTAACTCCCCTTTCATAATTAATAGTTAAAAGATATCTTCTTGTTTATTAAAATCATTATTTTCTTCTAATTTATCAAAATAATCTGTGATATCATTTTCATTTGTAGAATCTATACCTGTATTTATGTATTCGTTTTTATTTTTATTATAAGCATCAATTGCTGATTTAATCCTTTTTGCTTCTTTATATTTTTCTATGTAAACTTTTAAAATAATATATAAAGAATATGATGCAATTAAAATTGTTGAAAAAAATAAAGGTGACGATCTAAATTCAGCTAAAGATATGGATAGAAAATAATGTTTTCTTTTTGGAATATTTATAAACAATAACTTTTCTTTAAAAATATTTCTAATTGTAAGTTCAATTTTTTTATTCAACAAAATTTTGTATAATGAAAATAAAGCTATACAAAAGGTACCAGAAAGTAAATATTTCGCTAAGGTAACTTTATTATTTATTATTTTATTAACTAATTTGTCCAATAAATGTTTATCCTTTTCATTCGAAGAAATGTTTCTAAATTCGTTTGTTTGTTTTTCAGACTCTTGTAAATATATAAAATTCGGTTTATTTTTTTTCATAATATCCTTATTGAGAATTAATCTATTTTTATTTATATTAAATAAATAATATTTCTTGTTATGAAATCCTATGAACCAAAACTTATTATACTTATTATTTCCTTTTTTGAGATTATAATTTTTAAAATATAAATGTGTCTTTAACTCTGTTCTTTTAATACATTTAATATTAAAAAAAGTTAAAAAAAAAAATGATATTAATATAAAAATTTGACTTAACATTTTATATGACATTTTCATGAATACAATGCTGTTATGAAGTTATTTAATGAATTCATTTTTTTTGAATAAAAGGGAAAAAAATTGAAACCCTTCTTTTTAAAATATTCTTTAATATAATTTTTAATTTATATAAATAAATTTTACTTCTTACTATTTTTTGTACTTTTTAAACAAGTTTATCAAAAATTGTCCTTTTGTTTTTGTGTATTGAAAACACACATATTTTTTATTCTCCAAAGATTCATCTAATTTTTTTAATATTTAATTATTTTCTTTATAAGAATATTTTACTTTCACATATTTTACATCATAATTAATAATTTTTATATATTCATAAAAATTCTTGGTATTTTCTTAAATTACTTATTTTGTAAAGAAAAATTCATTTTAACAAGCATGTGGCTTTGTGTTACTTGTAGTTGACTTTTTTTTTTCTTTTTGTATTTATTTTTTTATTGACTTATTTGTATCATTTATCTATATAATATAATAACTGTGAGAGCTTCCAATAAAAAATTAAAAAAAAAAACGATTTGCAATTTAAAATCATGTAAATTAAAATGTAATTAATACCACACACATAATATATATGAAATATGCACACAAAATATACAAATATATATATACATATGTATTACTTTATATACATATAGTTTTATATATAAAAATAATAAATTTAAAAAAAAAAAAAAAAACTAGAGAACAATAATAAAAAAAAAAAAAAAAGGTTAATACCGAATAAAAAAGATCCAATTGTTCAGGTAAATGCTAAAAATAAAAAAGGAAAAAAATTAATTCAGACCAGTATTTAAATGAGAATAAAAAAAAAAAAATAATAAAAACATGAAGTAAAATGGACGTTGTATTTTTGAATGTTACTTTAATTTTAATGAATTTTTTTCTTTATTTGATTGAAAATTTATAGTTTTTGGTGGGGTAAATACTTTCATTTACTTGTTTGAAGTAAAAAAAAATTGACTTATATGCTTTTACTTCAAAAGTATCGGATTTTTTTTATATAAATATACTAAATATCCTTTCAAAATTAAAATGTGTTCGTAAAACTTAAGTATTAATGTAGCTTTTTTTTTTTTTTTTTTTTTTCTCTATAAATTTTATTCAATTATGAATTCTGTTAATAAAAAATCAATTTTGCAAAATTTTTTTTTTTTTTTCCCTTTTTTTTTTTTTTTTTTTATTGCAAATACATATTGCTACTAGTTGTAAAAATTTTTATTAATTTTAAATCCTTCTAATTAAATTTACATATACTTTTAATGAATACATCAATTTAATTTCCATGATTAATAAGTCTTCATTTGTTTTTCTTAGATGGCACATAAACATTTTTTGTATTAATAACATATTTTATAAAAATTTTTTATTATTATTTTAAAATAATATATGTTATTTATGAAGTTTTTTTGTTTTATTTTATTAATTTATTTTAAACATTTTAAGTTATTTGCAAACACCAGGATGTTTGCTGGTAAAATAGTATTCATTATTTTATTTATTTATTTATTTATTTTGTTTTAATATTTTGATAATTCATTTCTTATACATTTTATTGATATGATTATAGTTTGTATGATTCACTTTCATTTCATGCTTCTTATTTTTTCATAATATTTATTCATAATTTCGTAAATTTAATATTACCTTTTTGAACTTAATTTAATTTTTTATATATTGTGTTAGAATACGAAACAATTTCAACAAAAAAAATAATTTATGATACAAAAATTGAAAATTATGTGTCTATAAATAATTTTACTTTTTTTTTTTTTTTTTTTTTATTCGTAGTTTATAAGATGTAATATTTTTCTTTACATAAACTATTTGAATTATATAATAAAATGAAAAAAAATAAAATAAAATACCCTCATAATTTTATAAATACATATAATTTTGAATTTTTACAATGCATAGATTCCACTAATATAAATTATTTTTTCTTTAAGTTAAAGAAAATCTTTATTTTAATTTTATGAAAAATATATCTTTGATGATTTTTGCAACAAAACATTCTATGAAGAATTTTTTTTTCCCTTTTTCTCTTATTTATTTTTTTAATAATTGTGTCAAATTTTTGTAAAGAAGAACATACATATTAGTTTTATGCCTTTTTGTTAAAAATTTTTTTCAAAAATTTGTTAATTTTTTATCTTTTTGTATATTATGGTGTTGGAAATTTTGAAAAATAATTTTGAAAGAAAAGGGGAAAATTATTACAATAAAAAAATTCATAATAGCACCAGTAAGTACAAAAAAAAAAAAAAAAGGAATTATTTGTTAGAAGAAGACAGTGAAAAGGATAGTAGAAATATAGAAAGTGGAATTAATGAAGAATCATATAACGTATATGAACTATATGAAAATTTGTCAAATAAAAACAAAAAAAATATGGATTCTTCTTTTTTGAAGCTAAACAAAAATGGATCTATAACGAAAAACAAAATTAGAGAATTATATAAAAATTCAAAAGAGAATCTTCACTATGGGACAAATGAAAATGATATTTTTACAGAGGATATTTATGAAAACGATAATTTTGATGATGATAATTTCGTTGAAGATGAAAATATAGAATATAAAACATATAATTCTTATGCAAATCCAGAATCTAAATTATTTAATAATTATTCAAACACAAATATAAAAAAAGTGACTAACCATGTTAAAAGGAGTAATAAACACGAAAATATATTGTTTAATAAATACAATTATGATGCTATTTATGATAAAAAAAATATAAATAAGTTTGATTCAAATATAATTAGAATTTTGAACAATAAGAAAAATGTTGAATATGAAAAGCAGAATGATAATTATAGCAGAAAAAATATGTCTTACAACTATAATGAAGATATTAAATATAACCAAGAAAATTATAAAAATTATAATGATAACGAAGAAGAGAATAATAATTATGAATATGAAGATGATAGGGATGAAAACTATTATGATTATGAAGATGATAATGAAGATGAGGATGAAGATGAAGATGATGATGATGATAATGATAATGCAGATGATAATTATGAAGACGAAGATGATAAAGATGTCAATGAAAATGGAGATAATGTAGATAATATAAGAAAAAATGAATTAAAAGTTAATAAAATTAAAGAGAATAAAGAAAACGAAGAATATGAAAAAGATGAATTTGAGGAAAATGATGAAGATAATGAAGAAGATGAAGAACTGGAAGAGGAATATGATGACGAAGAAGAAGAAGAGGAAGAAGAAGAAGATGAAAATGAAGAAGAAGAAGAAGAAGAAGAAGATGATGAAAATGAAGAAGAAGAAGAAGAAGAAGAAGAAGATGAAGATGAAAATGAAGAAGATGAAAATGAAGATGAAGAAGAAGAAGAGGAAAATAGAGATAATTATGATATTGAAGAAGAAAAATATTACAATACATTAAGAAATAAAGAAGATGAAGAAAAAGAATTCATAAAAAATTATAATAATATTAATAAAAATAAAGAAGAATATCAAAGCTCAAGAACAAGAGTAGATGAATATTTTGAAAAAAAAATTATACCTCATAAAAGAAAAGAAAATGAATCATTAGTTCCATGCAATATTTTAAATGACCAAATAGATAATAAAAATTATGAATTTAAAGTTATGAATTATGAAAAAGAATATAAAGAGGACAATTTTAAGAATAAAGAAAAAAAAAACCACGAATCATTGAAAATATTGATTAGTGAAAATAATAACAAAGACGATTTAACCAAACATGCCATATCTAACATGAAAAAAATTGACATAAGCAACAAAACAAAAAATGATATTTTAATTTTTGAAAATTCTAAATTTAATTATAATAAAAAAAATTATCCAAATATGAATAAAAATGATAAAATTATCAAGAATAATAACAGTGATAATGCTATTTATGAAAAATTAAACTGCAGACAAAAAGAAATTATAAATAATATTGAAAATATTGGAAGTTTGTTAAATGAAAGTGCACTTGAAGATAATAGTAATCCAATTTTTTATAAAAAAAATAATGGTTTTAAAGAATTCAGATTTAATGGAGAAATCATTCAAGAAATAAATGTTGAAGATAAAAAAAAAAATAATATAAAAAATTTCTTATATAAAATGAAAAATAAAAAAAATAGTGATGATGTTTCTAAGAAGGAAGATAAAAAATATGAATTTTTACAAAAAAAAGATAAATTAAAAATTAAATTTACTGATATTTTGTATGCAGGTACATTAGGACAATTTTTTCATCGTAGCAAAAATAATTTTGTAAATTGTTCATCACCGCAGTTTAAAGGAGATAATACTTTCGAACCATCTAATAATCTAAATAATTTAGACAAGTTTAATTTTAATGATTATAAAACATCTATTACAAAGGATACATATGCAGAAAATATAGCACTTAAATCAAAAAAAGATAATGAAAAAGAAAATAATAATAAAAGGGAAATGGAAACAAAACTAGATAACAATTTTAATGAAAAAACTAATGTTGAGCAACATATATGTTGTAATTTAGTTAATGATATGTATGATAAAATAAAAGATGATAAAAAATATAATGAATTATCAAATAAACAAGAAAAGGTCAATTTTATGAAACTTTCAAATGCTTTAAACGATGATATCAATGTAAAAAAAAGTGATAAATATCTTGATAAAAATAAAAATTTATATTTAGATGATCATTATAGTTCAAAGCATAGTTATATTAATGATTCTAACGAAAGAAAATGTGATGTTTTAAAAAACCCTAATAGTGTAAGAAATATGATTACAAATAGAGATTATTACAAAAATAGATATGATAAAAATTTACATGCTAAAAATGAAAAAATTAATGTAACTGAAGATAAGGGAACTATATATACACATTCATATAGCAATAGTTATAGAAGTGAAAATAAAACAGAAAGTTTACAGAATACCATAAAAAAAGAAGAAAATAAAAAACCAAAAATTAGAAGTAAAGAAAAGAAAATAGAAGATAAAAAACAAAAGGAATTAGAAGTAAAAATAGATGAAACTTTAAGTAGAAAAATGATTGAGAATAATGAATTAAAGAATCATGATGAAATTGATGAAGACTATATAGTTACACCTTTTTATATCAAAAGTAAAATAGATAAAGTTTTAAAAAATAGTGAAATTTTTGAGAGATCTGCTAGAGCAACGTTCCAACAATTTGATATTAAAAATAAAAATTTTCTACATTTTAGCGAGATTGAATCATTGATACAAAAATTATGTTATAATTTGGAACTCCCTCCTGTTGATAGTTAGAAAAACAATAATATATATATTTATTTTATTAATATTTTGTATGACAATTATTTCATTTTATACATATATATATATATATGCCATACATAATATTTAAATATTTTTTTTTTAATTTTATTTTTTTCTTAAGAAAATATATTATCTATCGTATACAAGGATTATGATAGTAGTAAGAATAATAGTATGAATTATACAGATTTTCGTCAAATGTATTGGGATTTGTTAAAGCAAATAAAAAAAAAATATTATCCTACAAAGAACTTTAAAATAAAAAGAAATTGTATAATAAGTAGAAAAAAGTTAGGTGGATATGATTACTCTTCTATTTATAACTATTTAAGCTTCAAAAAAATTCTTGGATGTGGTGCTTTTGGTGAAGTACATTTAGTTGAAGATAATATTTGTAAATTATATAAAGTTGTAAAAATATTAAAAAAAAAGAGCATGAAAAATGTAAAAATAAATGAAGAAATTAATGTTCTAATATATTTGGATCATCCTAATATTATAAAGATTTTTGATGTGTATGAAAATATTGATTGCACATATATTGTTATGGAGTTGTGTGAAGGTGGAGAATTAATGAATAAAATTAAAAATTCAGAAAAATTTAATGAAAAATATATAAAAAATATAATGTTTCAAATTTTGTGTGCCATAGCCTATATGCATAGTCATAATATAGCACATAAGGATTTAAAACCAGAAAATATCTTATTTAAAGCAAAGGATGATGACACATTAAAAATTATTGATTTTGGTTTAGCAGAACTAATTAATAAATCTGAAGGAGTGAGTAAAACAGCTGCAGGAACTGTTTTATATATGGCACCAGAAGTATTTAAAAAAAACTTTACAATAAAATGTGATATATGGTCAGCAGGTGTAATTATGTTTTTTTTATTCTCAAAAAACTTACCCTTTTGTGGAAATACTTATGAAGAAGTAAAACAGAGTATATTTAAAGATGAACCAGATTACAAAAGTTTAAAACCAAAATTATCTCAATCAGCTTTGCATATTTTAAAGCTTATGTTAGAGAAGGATCATAATAAAAGACCTATGGCAGCAGTAGTAAAAATAAAATATAATAAATATTTAATGTTGTAAAATTTTTAGTTTTTATAAGATAATCTTTTAATACATAAGTAGTTTTTTTTTTTTTTTTTTTTTAAATAAAAGGATTAAGTTATTACAAATATATATAATTAAAAAAAAAGTTATTTGTAATAGTTTAAATATGTAAATTATATAAATAAAATTAATTTAAATGTAAATTTTTTTTTTTTTTTTTTTTTCTTTTATAGTTGTTGCATCATCCGTGGTTTCAGGGATATCTTGATCCGATTGAAATTTCTCCAACCACATTGAATAATATAAAATCATATATGAAACATTCAAATATAAGAAATATTATAATTAATATAATGGCACACGAATTAAGTATAATAAATAAACATATAAAATATATCAATGAAATATTTTGTAAAATAGATACAAATCATAATGGTTCACTTAGTCATAGGGAAATTTATACAGTTCTATCTAGTGCAGGTATAAAAAAATGGGATATAAACAGAATTGTTCAAGCTTTAGATATAAATGATAGAGGGAACATAACTTACACAGGTATAATTTATATATATGTTTTTTTTTAGTAGATAATTATATTATTTAATAAGGATATCTATATATATTTATTTTATTTTATTTTATTTTTTTTTTTTTCATAGAATTTATTGCTGGATGTTATAGATGGAAAAATATAGAATCTACATTTTTAAAAGCAGCTTTTAATAAAATAGATAAGGTTGTTAATATATATATGAATATAGATGTAAACATATCATTATACAGACATAAAAATATGTAAAACTTTTTATTTTTCTGTTTCTTATTAAGAATATTGTAAATTTTTTATTTCTATTATGTTAAAAAAATATTTTAAAAATTATTTTTTTTTTTTCCCCATTTTACACAGGATGAGGACGGTTACATCAGTAAGAGTGATATTGTAACATTGGTTCGCGATAAGGATATAGATAGTAATGATATTGATAATTTTTTCACATCTGTGTATAGTATAAAAAAATATACACATAAGGAAAAGAAAATAAATAAGGTATATTTCAACGAAAAAAAAAAGAATAACAAAAAAAAAAAAAAAAAAAAAAGGAATAAAAAGATAATAATCATAATTTTAATTTATTTTGCATTCATTGATAATGTTTTTTTCTCATTTTAGATAAGTTTTGAAGATTTTAAGGAATATATGTTAAGTACATTTTAGAGCCATATAGAAAAAAAAAAAAAACAAATAAGGATAGTAAAGCAAAAATCTAAAAAATCTTTGTACATAATTAAAAATTGAAATATTTTTATTATTATTTTTAATTTTCTTTTATATATCATGTTTTTAAACATCTTTTTTATAAAAAAAACTTCATATAATAATGTATCATTTTTAAATTGCATATTTTTTATTGTTTAATATTTAATAAAGAGGTCTTTATATATGTTATTTAATATTTATAATTAGTTTGTCTTTGTATTTTGTTATCATTTTTTTCTTCTTTTTTTTGTTTAATTTTTCAAAATATTATTTAAAATTTTCCTCTTTTTTATTGTTGATACATATATAAATACATAATATTTTAAAAGTCATTTCACATACTCTTAATTTTTTATGAAATCATATTATGATTCTGATTAAAAATACAGGAAAAAATAAGTTTATATTCCTTTTTATTTTATATCTATATTTTTTAGTGAATAATTTTATATATCATAATAAAATATTTATTAATTAAAAAAATTATTTTTATGAATTAAAAATTAATAATAAAAAACTTTAAAATTATAAAATATAGTGCTATATAGTTATAAATAACAATTATAAAAAGAGTAACAATAAAAATAGACATATTAGACACAAGGTATTAGATCCATATTTAGGATATAGTTTTTTTTTTTTTTTTTTTTTTTTTTTTTTTTTTTTTTTTTTTTTTTTTTTTTTTTTTTTTTTATTTTTTTACTTATTTTTAGTATATTAAATGGAAAAGGTAAAAAATATAAAGAAACAAAAAAATGGATTTTTAGATTTTCATGTAAGATAAATTGTACATTTTTGCTGATAGCTATAATATTTTTTTTTTTTTTTTTATAAAAAAATCATACATAATTTTGTCTAAATTTTTTCTTTTTATTACCTTATCTTTATAAAATATTTTAAACACGTAAGATAAAAAAGATAAAAATTATATGTCATTATAATACATATAAATATGACAAAATTTTCTGAAGATCATTATGATACTTTGAATTTAACAGAGCTAAAAAGTAATATTCAAGAGAAAAGTATAATAGGTTACAGTGTTAATTTTACAGCAGGTGGCTTATTATTTTTTGGAGGATTTAAAATAGATGTTCAACAAAACAATGGATATATTTGCAATGATGCTTATTTAATTCACATAAAAAAAGAAAAAGCAGAATATGAAAGTATTACAAGTAAAATAAAACCCAATTTGAGATGTTATCATAATTCTTGTACTTTATTAGAAAATTATGTAATAATTTTTGGAGGATTAAATAGCGAAACTCCTTTTATTGCTTTAAATGATTTGTGGATATTTAATAGTTTAAATAAAACTTTTGTTGAAATAAAATCCAATTGTACAGAAAAAAATGAAAAGACACAAATAGAAAATTATGAATCGTATGAAAATGGGAAATCATATGAAGTGGGTAATAGTGATGATAATAAAGATGATGAAGATGATAATGATGATGGAATTTTAGATAATGCATATATTAAACACTTAAAAAATTTAAAATATCATAAAAATGAAGAATTGTGTGTAAATAATATTCCTTCTCCACGTTATTTTTCAAGCTTAGATTTATATATAGTTAAAAAAACTAATATGGATGAAAAAAAAGAATTTGAAAAAGATGAGATAAAAATAAAAAATAATAAAATAATAGTAAATAATATAGATAATTATGAATATTTTAGTCTAATTGTATTTGGTGGATATGGTGGTTATGGTTATGATAGAAATAGTTACAATGATTTATATGAATACAATATTTTGAACAATGAATGGACATTGCGACCTTGCAAAGGAAGCAATCCTTCAAAAAGATATGGGCATATTTCATTTATAAATGGAAATAACTTATTTATATTAGGAGGTACAAATGCTGAAATCAGTTTTAATGATATGTATTCATGTGATTTAAAGAAAAATGAATGGTCTGAAGTTGATTTTTCTTATTCATTTAATGTTGCAAAAGTGTTTTGTAGGAGTGTATTAGTTGAATCTATAGATAGAAATATAATTTTTATATTTGGTGGTTGTAATATAATTAGTGATGAAAAAGGAAATAGAAAAATAGAATATAATAACATTAAATTAAATATGTTAAAGTTATATGATAATTTTAAATTAGAAGAATTAAAATACAGTTTAATTAAAAGAAAAGAAAATATAAAGAATAATTGTGACTATAACTCTAAAAGTGGTAGTGATATGAATTACTTAAGGGAAGAAGAGGAAAAAAAAAAAAATGATAAAAGCGATACTTATGAAGATAGTATGTCAACCAATATAATATTTTCTTCTATTAGTTATGATTTTATTGATTCTAATTTAATTATTACAGATTCTAAGAAAAAAATATATGTAATGAATATAAGTAAAATCATAGGACCAAAATATGCAATTTTTAATTTATCACCAAAATATTGTGACATAAATGGAAATAAAAAAATTTTATTAAAAGGGAAGGGATTCACAAATGAAGGAAGAATAATTGTAAAATACAAATCAGAAAATGTCAATTTATATAGTGATGGAATTTATATAAATGAAAATAATATATATACTGTTGCACCTAATGCGAAGAATAAGATAACAAACAAAATTTGTGAAGTTCAACTATCTATCAATGATAAATGCTATACAACCAACAATTGCATATTAGAATATTATTATAATATTGATCCAAAAAATACTTTAGTTTTTGGTACTGGATTATTGGAACCTGTATGTTTAAAAGAAAATAATTTTTTTTTTCTAATAGCTAGAAATAGTTTAAATGAAAATAAAAAAATAGGAGGAGATAAGTTTCAAATAAGTATTGTATATGAGGATAAAAATGAAAAGCATAATTTAAAATACCTAGTTTATGATATAAATAATGGATTTTATATAGTGAAATATTTTCCTTTTTCTATTCAAACAGAAATAAATGAAAATGAATCAAATATAATAAAAAATGAGGCAAATATAAATGAAAATGATTCAGAATTAGATAAAAATGATACAAAATCAAACAAACATACGGAACAAAACAGTAACACAGATACTTTTACTAACAGTCCTCTTGAAAATAAACTAAAATCAAATGTAATATTTAATAAAAGTGATAATGAAATTAAAAATTTTAATATAAATAATAATAATGAATTACATTTCAATGGAATTTTACGAATAACAATAAAATTAAATGGAGAAAATGTTCAAAATAGTCCATTTATTTTAAAAGTGGAAAATAAAGAACAAGATAAAATAAAATATGTAAAAAAATTTGTTAATGATAGGCTAGAAGATTTAATAAAAAAAGGAGAACAATTATTTGATCTAATAAAAAATAAAAATATGAATACTAACAATTTAATTGAATTAAATAAAAATATTGACCATTTTTTAAACAAATTTTCTAAATCTATACATGATATAAACATAATAGAACAATATATACATTATGGGGTTATTCATATTGAGGAAATGGAAAAAATTATAGATGAGTTACATAGAGAAGAAAATGTTGTAAATGCCTATTTAGAAGATGAATCTTCCATCGATAATGAAATTAATAATTTAATAAATAATGAAAAGAATAAAAATAGTTTGATTAAAACTACTAATAATAATAATATAATAGAACATGAATACGAATATAATGATAATAAAAATATATGCCATGAAAAAGGAATTGAGAAAAAAGATATAAAAAAAAACACAGACAATAATATACATTTATCAGAAAAAAGTAAGTTAATTAGTAATTATTTAAAGGTTAAAGATAATAAAAATATTCTTGATTTTATAAATGAAAATAAATTAAAATTTATGGACTATATTGATTTAAATTTAATGAAAAAATTAAAAAATTATATTAATCTTTTAAATAATGAAGAATTAAACTTAAGAAATAAAAAAGATATTAAAAAAAACGATATTTTAAAAACGAAAATATCAGAAAATAAAAAAAATAGTAATGAAAGGGAATTGCATACAGAATATGAATATTTTACAGAAAAAGGAGAAAAAAAAAATGAGGCTATTAAGAATTTACTAATTTTTTATGATAAATTAAAATCTGTTTGTATATGTAAAAAGGAAAAGGAATTAAAGGAAGAGTTTATAAAAGAAGAAAAAGAAAGTATTAAAAAACTAAAACTAAATTATAATAAATTTATTAACATTAAAAAAAATTTAGAAATATCAAGCGTTTATACACATAACAATGGATACGAATTATCCTTAAAGGAGCTAGAGACAACAAAAAAGTATTTAGCAGAAATAAAAGAAGAAGTAACAAAAATAAAACAAATATCAGATAATATAATAAGAATAGACAATGTAGAAGAATTAAGCAAGGAAATAGAAAATTTGAATAATGAAATAAATGAAATAGAAAAACTTTGGATTTTTATTAAAAAAAAAGAAGAAATTTTAAATAAATTTTTTTTTTGTTCTTTTAAAGATTTAGATGTAGAAGATTTTGATATACAAGTTAAAAAATTGCAAAATAATTTCAAAAAAATAAAAGTGGATAGAAAACATAACATATGTAAAGAGGAAACTTTAAAATTAAAAGAAATAATCAAATTTATTTCAGTCTTAAGTGAAATAAAAAAACCTTTTATCAAGGAAAGACATATAAAAGAAATAGAATACAATATAAATGAAGAAAAAGAAAAAAGTAAAGAAGAAAAGATTAGTATTATAATTGATGATAATACCCTTGCTATATATTTTTATAAATTAAATGTAATGAAGTATCATGATACAATTGAGGAAGTAATAATAAAAGCATATAATGAAAAAGTAATAGAAGAAACATTAAATAAATTTGAGGAGTACTGGGACAAAATATATTTTAAAAATAAAAACTATAAAAATGATATTACATTAACTTACATAGATGATGTTTGCATAGATACAATAGAAGAACATCAGGTAACTTTACAGAATTGTTTTTCTTCAAAATATTTTCTCTTCTTTTCAACAGAATTAAATTTATGGCAGAAAAAAATATCAAATATATATGAAGTAATACAACTATTAAAAGATATAGAAAAATTGTGGATATATTTACAAAATATGTATATTTATTCAGAGGAAGTAAAAAAAGAGTTACCATCGTATTCTAAATTTTTCTTAACAATAAACGATGAATATTTAGAAATGTTAGAACAGATAAATAATAATAATATTAAAGTGATCGACTTCTCTAATGAGGATGGGATAATAGAAAAATTAGAGGATTTAAAGGCAAAATTATGTAAAAGTGAAAAACCTTTAAATGAATATTTAGACTCCAAGAGAAAATCTTTTCCAAGATTTTTCTTTATATCTTCAACAGATTTAATAGACATTCTGTCTAATGGTAATAATTTTAAACTTGTTAATACTCATGCTCAAAAAATATTTTTATCAATAAGGAAATTTGTTACAAAAAATGAAAAATTAAGTGAAAATGAAATAGAGAATGAAGTAAAACTTGAAATTAATGAAAACACTTTTGAAAATCAAAATAATATTAAAAATGAAAGCATATCACAAATAGAAGAAAAAACATTTTCTTTTAACCAAAAAGATAATGAATCATTAAAAAATAATGTCCATATGGAGAAAATAAACATGAACAGTTCAGGAGAAGATGAAGAAATTATTACAAAATTAATTTCTTCTTATGGAGAAGAAATTTGTAATTTTCATGAAGAACTCACTTTAAGGGGTAAGGTAGAGTGCTATTTAAATGATATAATAGTTCATATTAAGCATACATTAAAATATTATATCACCAATTTATTTAAATTGAAGTATTTATATAATGATAAAAAAGACAAATGGATTGATGAAAATTATTTGTCGCAAGTGTTCATTTTGTGTAATACCATATTTTTTGTAAATGATGTTGAAAATATATTAAGCAAAAAAGACGTTAATGTACAAGAAGAGTTAAAAAAATATTATAAAAACCATATTCTTCAGCTAGAAAATGTTATAAAAAAGGTTCAGAAGAAATTGACTATAAAAAATAGGATAAAAATAATGTGTATAATAACTTTGGATACATACTACAGAGATGTATTAGAAATTATTTTAAAAAATAAAAATAACATATCTATAAATATGTTTGATTGGCAATCTCAAATTAGAATGTATCCATTTTTTAAAGACAAAAATTATACTAGTAATGATAACGTACATGAAAATGAAATTCAAAATAAGGGGGATAATAATGAAAAAGAAAAAGATGAATCTATGGAAGAAAGAGAAAATAAAATTAAAGCTGAAAGTGAACAAAATAATATGTATGATGAAATATACAAAAGTAATACTTTAGATTTTAAACAGTTATATATAAAAATAAGAATTATGGATTGTTCTTTCAACTATTCTTATGACTATATAGGTAATTACCAAAGGTTAGTGATTACCCCTTTAACTAGCCGCATATATATAACAGCAACCCAAGCATTAAGTTTATATATGGGTTGTGCCCCTGCTGGACCTGCGGGAACAGGAAAAACAGAAACAACAAAAGATTTATCTAGTTTTTTTGGAAAAAATTGTTATGTATTTAATTGTTCAGATCAATTAGATTATAAAAGTATGGGTAATATATTTAAAGGCATCGGAAGCACTGGATGTTGGTGTTGTTTTGATGAATTCAACAGATTAATTCCTGAAGTTTTATCTGTTTGTTCTATTCAATTTAAGTCTATATTAGATTGCAAACGTAATAATAACAATGTTTGTATAATAGGTTCTGATGAAATTATAGTTAAAAAAAATTGTGCAGTTTTTATTACTATGAACCCTGATTATTTGGGGAGATCAAAATTACCTGAGAGTCTTAAAATATTATTTAGACCTATTACTGTAATTATTCCTGATTTTAACAAAATTTGTGAAAACATGTTAATGGCTGAAGGATATGTAGATGCAAAATATCTTTCCATTAAATTTACGACTTTTTTTGAACTTGCTCAGAGTTTGTTAAAAGAAAAACATTGTGATTGGGGATTAAGAAGTATTAAAAGTGTTTTAACAAAGGCAGGATTCTTAAAGAGAACTTATCCAGATGTTGATGAAAATAAATTACTATATTCAGCTATACGTGATATTAATATAGCAAAAATATCTTCTTCTAATTGTCCTATATTTTCAGGGTTGTTGGATGATATATTTTTTTCAAAGCAGAATATAATAAATAAACAAAATGATAATGAAATAAGTTCAGATATAAAAAAAAATTTAAGTAATGAAAATGATAACATAAAAAAAGATGAAAATTATATAGAAAAATGTAAAATGGAAAATAACGAAGATGATGAAATAGAAGAAAATGTAAGTAATGAAAAAAAAAAAAGTGATACTAATCAAATAAATAGTAATATAAATAATAAAATATCTAATTCTAGTGAACAGAAAGAATTTTTTAATCAAAGTATAATTGAAAATGAATTAATGGAAATTTGTAAGAAAAATCATTTATTTGGTTTAAATTATTTTGTTAAAAAAATTATACAATTAAATGACATTATTAATATACGACATTGTGTATTTATAATGGGAGAAGCAGGTTGTGGAAAAACTACTTTATTTAATATGTTAATGGAATATCAAAAAAAGCAAAATTTAAAAACAGTAAGTATTAGAATTAATCCTAAATCTATAAGCATTGATGATTTATATGGTAATGTTCATATAAAAACAAGGGAATGGAAAGATGGAGTTTTTTCAAAATACATGCGAAATTATTCAAAAAGAGACGATTGTGATAAAGCTTATATAATTTTTGATGGAAATTTAGATTCTCATTGGATAGAAAATATGAATTCAGTCATGGATGATAACAAGGTATTAACCTTATCATCTAACGAGAGAATTTTATTAAAAAATCATATGAATTTGGTTTTTGAATTTAGTGATTTAATGTTTGCTACACCTGCCACTATTTCCAGAGCCGGTTTAGTTTATTTTTCTGTTGATCCTAATGATTTGTGGAAAAATTATTTTTTATCATGGATTGATAAGCATGATAATTTTAATAGTAGTATTAAAAAGATATTTGAAAAATTAATGTACAAATATGTTGAACCTACATTTTCTTATCTGAATACTTTGCAAACATCTATTAAAATATCTCCAATGTCACACATTCAATCATTGGCTGCCTTATTAGATATATTATTAGTTGATAATAATTACGAAAGTGTTGAGCATTATTTTATTTATTCTGTTATATGGTGTTTTGGTAGTTTTTTAGGAGAAAAAGATAATGTAAATTACAAAAAATGCTTTGATAAATACTGGAAAAATACTTTTAAAAGTATTAAAGTTAATAGAAAAATTAGTGTTTTTGATTTTTATGTTGAAAATAATAAATTTAAGGAATGGAATGAAAGAGAAATAGTTAATCAAATTAACCAAAATTCTTTATTAAAAAATGATATATTTATTGAAACAGTAGAAAGCTGTTCTTATAAATATATAAGTAAACTATTTTTAAAGTCAAATATGCCTATTTTATTTATTGGTAAGACAGGAGTAGGAAAAACTCATTTATGTAAGAAAATATTAAATGAAGATAAAGATGGATATAAAAGTTTTTACATGATTTTTAATTATTATACAACATCAAAAAATGTACAATCCTTAATGCAAAGTTGTTTAGAAAAAAAATCAGGAAAACAATTCAGTCCTCCATATCAACAGAAATTGATTTACTTTATTGATGATATTAACATGCCTAAATGTGATGATTATAATACACAAAGTGCTATTGAATTATTATGTCAATACATTGACACTAATTCTTGGTTTGATTTAGAAAAATTAAATTTAATAAAAATTTTGAACACAAAACTTATTTCTTGTATGAATTACAATAGAGGAAATTTTACAATAAATCCTAGACTTCTCAGACATTTTTTTATTTTAAATATTAATTTTCCAGAAAACAATACTGTGAATAGTATTTTTAGTGCTCTTCTGAAAGATCATTTTAGCAATTTTAAACAAGATGTATCTGATTTAATTCCTTCTATATTAAAATCAACTATATCTTTATATTACAATATTGAAAAGACCTTTAAAAGAACAGCCACATATTTTTATTATGAATTTAATTTAAGAGACATTCATAGTATAGTTAAAGGACTTCTTACGGCAACACCAGTTACATTTCAAGATTGTGATAAGTTATTATTTTTATGGTTACATGAATGTGAGAGAGTTTATTCAGATAAGTTAAATAAAAAAGACAAAAAAAAATACAAGAGTATCATTATTGATTTAATAAAAAAAATGTATAATAAGTATGAAATTAATAAGTTTGTTATGAAATATGACAACAGTTTATTGTTTTCTAATTTTCATAAAGGCAATCATGACAAAAGTTATGATTTATGTAAAAATATAGAGGAATTAACATTATTCTTAACAGAAGAACTAAATGAGTATAATAATTTCTATAATTTAAATATTGTTTTATTCAATGATGCCATAAGACATATTTGTAAATTAATAAGAATAGTAGATAATTTAAAATCACATGCCTTGTTATTAGGTATAGGAGGGTGTGGAAAAACAACAATTTCTAAATTTTCATCTTATATATCTTCCAAAACATTTTATGAAATGGATTTTTCAGCTCACTGCTCCGATAATGATATAAAAAAGTATTTACAAAATATATTTCATAAATGTGCTATGAAAAATGAAGATATTGTTTTATTTTTAAAGGAGAGTAAAATTCATGATAATTTTTTTATTTATGTTAATGAATATATATGTTCTAACAATATAATCGAATTATACACAAAAGAAGAAAAGGATTATATAGTACATAATATGAGAAATATAGCTAAATCGGAAGGAATAGAAGGGACAGATAATAATATATTTGACTATTATATCAAAAAGGTAAATGATAATTTACATTTCATATTATGTTTTTCTCCAACTAGTAATAATTTCAGAGATAAATCAAACAATTTTCAATGTATTTTAAATAATACAATGATTGATATTTATGATAATTGGGAAGCAGATTCCTTAATGTGTGTAGGACAAAAATATGTCAATAATATATATATGAATATAAATACTGGAGATATATTACTGGATGAAGAATACTTAAATTTACAAAATGAAAATAAGAATAAACAAAATTTAAATGAAAGAAACATTAAAAGTGATACAACTGTCCTTATAAATGATAATAGAAACGATAATTTGAACAAAGAACATAGTAACATTAATGATTTAGGTGATGATAAAGGAAATATAATAAATAGTAATAATAATAATAATAATAATCAAATCAATGATCACTCTAGTGGAATAAATAATGAAAATAACAATGATGCTCCTATTACAACAAATTTAAATTTAATAAATGAAGAAGAATATGTTAACTTAAAAGACATCATAATTGAATATTTAAAAGAATGCTATGAGGATTTATTAGATATATCATCTGATTATTATTCACACGAAAGATCTCATATATATATAACCCCTAAATTGTATTTAGAGAGTATAAAAACATACCATATAATGTTATTAAAAAATATTACTAATATAAATAATAAGATGAATATGTTGAAAAATGGAATTACAAAAATGAATGAAACTAGTTCGAATGTTGAGAACATTAAAAATTGTCTAAAGGAAAAGAAAAAAATATCAGAAGAAAAAAAAGATGCAGCTGAAAAATATGCTATTGATATTGGAAATGAAAAGATGATTGTTAAAAAAGAAAGTGATTTAGCTGATATAGAAGAAAAAAACTGTTTAGAAATACAAAAAAAAGTATTAAAACAACAAGAAGATTGTGAGAATGATATTATTTTAGGTATACCGTTAGTAGAACAAGCAGAAGAAGCTTTAAACACTTTAAATAAAAAGAATATTCAAGAATTAAAGACTCTAAATAAACCTCCACCAGGTGTAGAAGATATCACTGCTGCTGTTATGCAATTATTGGCCACAATTGATACAACTATAAATGTTGATAAATTTGGTAAAATAAAAGATAGAAGTTGGAAGTCAGCACAAAAAATGATGATTAACCCTGAAAAGTTTATTTCTTTATTAAAAGATTATAAAAATAAAATAGATGAAAATTTGGTTCCTGATTGTAATTTTAAATATGTGGAAAATTTGATTAATTTGCCCCATTTTAATAAAAATGCAATTCAAAAAAAATCAAAAGCTGCTGCTGGTTTAGCTGAATGGGTATTGAACATTACATCATTTTATAAGATTATACAAAATATATTGCCAAAAAGAATACTACTAGATAATACCAAAAAAAGTCTTGAAGAAGCTAATGAAAAACTACAAATAGTGCGTGAAAAGGTTCAATCTCTTAAAGAAAAGTTAAATGCTTTAATAAATCAATATGATCATGCTATTTATGAAAGAGATCTCGTAATTTTAGAAGAAAAAAAACTAAAAACAAAATTAGAATTATCAATTAGATTAATAGATGCTTTAAGTAGTGAACAAATAACATGGTCCAATCAATACGAAAATTTAAAAAAAAAAAAAAAAACTATTTTAACAGACATATTATTATCTTCTACATTTGTAACATTCTGTGGTGGATTTACAAAAAAATATAGAAATACAATTATGACAAAATGTGTTGATACATTAAAGAAAAAAAACGAAATTCAAAATAATATTTTTAATAATATGGTGAACAAACTAAATAAAAATGAAAAAAACGTTACATCAAATATTTCTAACAAATATGGATATATAAACAATAGTGAAAATAACATTAATAATGCAAATAACTCAAATAACGTAAATAATATATTAAATAATGCTAATACAGATAATGAACTATATAATAGTGATTTAATGAAACAAGACATTATACATGATATATTTTTGGTAAATAATTTTAATTTAGATTTATTGATAAATGAAGAAATTTTAGCTAAATTAAGCAAACAAGGATTAACATTAAATTCTGTTTGCATTGAAAATAATATAATACTAGAAAATAGTGATAAATTTCCAATAATTATTGATCCACAAATGGAAAGTTTAAAATGGTTAATTAATAATCAAAGAGAAAAAAATGAGAAATTAATTATCACTGATATTAACGATAAAATGTTATTTAAAAAAATAGAAGAATGCATATCATTCGGTTATTCAATTATCGTTGAAAATGCGGATGAATGCATTGATAATACATTATACAATGTTATATCAAAAAATATTATTAAGAGAAAAAATAATTATTATATTAACATAAATGATAAAGAGTTAATATTTCATCCATCCTTTTATATTATTTTACATACACAACTGTCTAATCCTCATTATCAGCCTGAAATACAATCAGCTTGCTCTTTAATCAATTTTACAGTTACACCTGATGATTTAGAAGAGCACTTATTGTCAATTACATTAGAAAATGAATTTAATCACTTATCAAAAAAGAAAAAGAAATTATCTTTATTAAAGTATGATTATATGTGTCAGTTATCTTTTCTACAATCATCCATTTTGCAAAAATTAACTGACGCTAAAGGAGACATATTAGAAGATGTTTCTTTAATTGAAAATTTAGAGAAAACTAAATTATTGAGTGAAAACATAGCTAAAAAAAGTGAAATTGTTAAAAATACAGAAGTTCATATTAACACTATTATTAATTTATATAGACCATTGTCAAAAAGAGGAGTAATGTATTTTTTTATTTTACAAAAATTAAAAAATCTTCACTCTTTTTATTTTTATTCATTAGAAATATTTTTAAAAATATTTATCAAATGTTTGAAAGATTGTTCAGAAAACAAACCTTCAAATAATCATACAAACGTAAAAAATAAATATCTTAAAAATACAGATAAGGATTCCAATGAAGGAGACTTTTATAATATTATAGAAGAAAACAAAAAAGATGAATATATAAAAAATGATTCAGATGGAAAAAATTATAATAAAGAACAATCCATTGAAAAAGAGATGTGTGAAGGAAATAGTTATAAAGGAAAATGTAGTGAAGAAAAAGTTGAGACAGAATTTGAAGTGGAAAAAGTGCAAGAATATACAAGTGATAAAAAAGTTAATAAAGAGAAATTAAATGAAGAAATTATAGAAGAAAAATTGGGTGAAAATATAAGGGAAGAAGAAGATAGTGAACAAACTAAAGGTCAAAATGATAAGGAAATTATTGATAAAGAACAGTTAGAAGAGAATATTGATGAAGAACAAATTAAAGAAGAGGAAATTGATGAAAAACAAATTGAAGAAGAGAAAATTGATGAAAAACAAAATGAAGAAGAGAAAATTGATGAAAAACAAATTGAAGAAGAGAAAATTGATGAAAAACAAATTGAAGAAGAAAATATTAGTGAAAAACAAATTAAAGAAGAGATAAATGATGAACGAAATGAAAACGAAAAAATTGAAGATAAACATATTGAAGAACAAATTGATAAAGAAAAGATTAATGATGAGGAAATTGATAAAAATAAAGTAGATGAAGAAAAAATTGAAAAAGATAAAATAGATGAAGAAAAAATTGAAAAAATAGACTCAGAAAAAGTGAGTAAAGAAAAAAACAATATCGAAATGATGGAAGAAGAAAATATAGAATCAGAAAATACAGATATGATCAAATTAGAATCAGAAAAAGAAGTTGAAGAAAAATTAGATTCAATAAAAGAATATGAGGAAAATACTAAAGAAAAAAATGAGGATTTAGAAAGCGATGATTTTGAAAATGATGATTTTAAAAATGAAGAAATAAAAATAGATAAAAATGAAGTTGAAAAAAGAGTAAATGTTTTAATAGAGTTATTAAATGTAAAAATGTGGATGTACATTGATAAAGGGTTATTAGAAAGAGATAAATTAATTGTAAAGTGCTTAATTATGTTGAATTTAGAAAAATTAAATGATAAAATAACCCAAGAAGAAGAAGAAATATTTATAAATCCTAAATATAAATTAAATAGTAATAAAAATAAATTAAACGGTAAAAAAGAGAATGAAAATATAGAAAAAAATTTAATGAATAAATCTTTTATAAGTGAAGATTTGTATGAAGATTGCAAAAATTTAGAAAATTTAAAAGATTTTGAAAATTTAACTGAGAGTTTTGAAAGTGAAAGTATGTCATGGAAACAGTGGTTTTTAAGTGAAAAAGTTGAAAATGAGGAATTACCTCGAAAATATAACAACCTAAAAGATTTTTCCAAATTGTTATTAATTAGAGTATTACGAAAAGATAGATTTTTGGTATCTTTAAAAAATTATATTAAAAAACACATCAAAATGACTAATGATGAAAAAAATACATACGCTCTTGAAAATATATTAGAGGAATATATTGATAATAAAACACCTGTTTTATTTTTATTAACTTCTGGTAACGACCCTTCTAAGGAAATTGAAGATTATGTTGAAAAGTTAAAAAAAAATCAGAAAACTATTTCGAATAACGGTAATAGTGAAAAAAATATTAACACTATTTCCTATGTTAATATATCAATGGGTCAAGGTCAAGAAAATATTGCATTAAAATATTTAAAAGAAATATCAAAATGTGGAGGATATATATTTCTACAAAACATCCATTTAATGACCAAATGGCTAAAGGAATTTGAAGAAATTTTGGACAAAATATTTTTAGATGCACATAAAAATTTTCGATTATTTTTATCTTCAGCAATCCCTTCTGAAAAAGAAACACAATTATTACCTGAAAAATTATTAAAAAAATGCTTTAGGATAAATAACGAAAAATCCTATAGTTTAAAAGATAATATAAAATGCTGTTTGGATAAGTTTGAAAACAGAGAATATGATGGTAAATTAAAAACTGTTATACTAGGCTTATCTTATTATCATAGTTTGTTATTGGGGAGATTTCTTTATGGAAAAATTGGATTTAGTCAATCTTATTCTTTTAATGATAATGATTTAGAAATTTCATTTAATATAATAAAAAGGTACTTGAGTAGTTACGAAAGTTTTCCTTTAGCTGATGTATTATTTTTAATAGGAGAAATTATTTATGGTGGACATATAACAGATATATGGGACAGAAGAATAAATAAAACTTACATAAAAAATATATTAAATGAAATATATAGAAATATAATTACAATTAATGAAAAAAAAAGAAATAGTATTAATAATGAGACATATAACAATAATACGGAAAATATTTCGAATAATGAATTAGAAGAGAAACAGATTTTAAAAAATACAAAAAATAATATTTTATTTGATGTATTTAAGTTTCCCGATTGTAGTAAATATAATATTTCTCAATTAAAAAAGTATATTGATGAAAAATTAAATAAAGAGCAAACATATTTATTAGGACTTCATATAAACGCTGAAATTGAATATATGAAAAATGAATGTTCAAGGATTTTGCAAAATTTACAAGAATTAAGTAATAAAGAAATTGCATCACCTCAAAATTATAAGAATAAAAAAATTGGAGAAAATGATACAGAAGAAGATGAGGAAGAAAAAAATTCAGGAAGTAATAAAAGTACCAAAATTTTGTATGACATAATAAATCATCTATTAAATGAGTTACCAGAAAAAATAAATATAAATGATTTAAAAATAGAGGAAGTTCAAACTAATACGTTTGTTGTAATAGCATTAAAAGAAGCAGAAAAATTTAATAAATTGATTGAATGCATTAATGATACATTAATAGAGATAAAGTTAGTTTTAGATGGAATTCTAAATATGAATGATAAAATACAAAACACTATTAAATCCTTACTATTACATAATATACCAGATATATGGAAGAATTATTCTTATCCATCCAAAAAAAAATTAATGCCATGGTTTGAAAATTTCAAGTTAAGAATTCTTTTTATAAAAGAATGGATTTCTAAAATAAGAAATCAAATTTTTTTACCTAGTTCTGTGTGGTTATCAGCATTATTTAATCCCATATCTTTTCTAACAGCAATAAAACAAAAATTTGCGCATGAAAATAAAGTTCCTATTGATAAACTAAAATTAAAATGGCATGTAACCAACATAACTAAAGTAGAGGATTTAAATAATAAAAATAACTCTTTATATATACATGGTTTATTTTTACAAGGCGCATCATGGTTAATAAATTCTAAAAATGATACTTTTGTATTTGATAAAGATAATTTAAAAGAAAATATTTCTTATGGAAATATAATAGAATCAGTACCTAAAAATATTTATTTTCCTATGCCATTAGTGTATGTTTATTGTATAACTAATGAACAAGATGAATTATTGAAATCAAATTTAGAATCACATTTTTTAAATACACCATTGTATATAACTTCAGATAGGGGAAGTACTTTTGTTTGTTCAATTGATTTAAAGTAATAACATGAAAAAAAAAAAAAAAAAAAAGTATAGTAATATATATTTAATTTATTTCACTTTTATAAATTTTTTTAATTACATATTTTATTATTACATCTTAATTAATTTATATATATGTTTATGTTTCTTATTTACAGTTTAGAAATGGACGATATAAAAGATAAATGGATATTAGCTGGTGTTGCTCTTTTTTTATCTGATGATTAATTTATTATTTTTTTTTTTTTTTTATTTTATACATACTATTATAAAAGATAACTATTTTTATTTAAATTTATGTGTTCATTATGACATTAAAAATGAATTCACTAATAAAATTTAAAAAAAAGAATAAAAAGAATTATGATATTTTATAAATAAATTTAATTAAGGTAGGCACTTTTTTAAGAAGATAAATAATAAATTATCAAAAAAAATATTGTGTTTAAATTTTTACTTTTGTTTAATTAAACCATATATATATATATATATATATATATATATATATTTTATAAAAATATAAAAAAAAAAAAAAAAAAAAAAAAAAAAAAAAAAAAAAAAAAAATAAGAAAATACAAAAAAAAAAAAAAAAAATAAAAAAAATAAAAAAAATAAAAAAAATAAAAAAAATTAAAAATAAAATATGTTATTTTTATAATTTATAAGAATTAATTTAATAATATATTTCATTACAATTAAATTTTATATTTCCATAAGATACTAAACATATGATAAATATATCGGATTCATTATAGAATTAATATTTCGAATAATATTAATTTATATAGTACATAAATTTTATAAATTTTTGCTTTTATCACCAAATTCTTTTTTTCTTTTTTTTGCAATTGTATTTTGATAAAAATTTTTAACTTGCTCTTTGGTTTTTCCATATGGTTTCAACGCTGAATATAAAGAGTCCCAATTTTTTCCATCTTTTAAAAAAATTTCAAAATAAATTTTTTTTTCTTTATCTGTCCATTTAGTTGCTGTCTTTCGGAATTGCTTAGAAGAATCAAAATTTTCTATTTGAGATTTTTTGATTTGTTTCATTTCATCTAAAAGTTCTATATGGGATTTGTTATTAATAAAAGATTTTATTTCATCTTTTATGTCTGTATTAATATTATTTGTGTTAATTTGATCGGATAAAGATGTAATATAATTTCCATTCATTTTGTTTTTATTTATTTCTGTTGGGGAATTATTGTCACTCCATATATTTTGATTATTTAAAAAATTATTTTCATTACTTGTGATGTATTTTTTTTTTTTATCAATATCTTCTTCACTGTAAATTTTGCTTGTTAAATTATTTTCATTTAAAAATTTATCATGCTTGTTTAATGATGAAATAGACTTACCATCTTTATTATAACAATGCTTTCTAAGAATTTGTTGATCTTTTTTGTAATTAAGTGTTTCTTTTTTCGTATTATATATTAATTCTCCATCAAAATTTTCTTTTCTATTTTCATTAAATATATTCTTTTTTTGATCATTTTTATAATATCCCATTTTTTCTTCTTCTATTTGTTCATCTCCAGCTTCACCTTTATCTTCATTTTCATCCTGTTCTTCTTCAAAGTAAATTTCATCACCATTTTCTCTATTTTCATTTTCAGTTTCTTCTTTATTATCAGTATCAGTATCATCATCATCATCATCATCATAATCATCATGAGCATCATCATCATCATTATCATCATGAGCATCATCATCATCATTATCATCATCAGCATCATAATCCTCTTTTTCTTTTTGTATATCTTCTTCAGAATCATCCCTTTCTTCCTCTTCTTCCGCTTCTTCTGCTTCTTCCTCTTCTTCCACTTCTTCAAATTCGTTTTCTTCAGATTCATTGAAATCATTTTCATGTTTTTGTAATTCATTTATTTTTTCTTTTTTATGGATTATTTCATTTTCACACTTTTTCTCCAAACTTTTTTTTATTTCTTTTCCTTTTCCTTTACTTGAATTTGATACATTATTTTTTTGATCTATTAATGTATTTTTTTCTCCTATTTTTTGAGATGATTTTTTACTTTTTTTAATATTTTTACCTTTTTCATTAATTAAACTACTCATATTTTTTGCTTTTATTATTTGATTTTTTTTTTTAACATTTTTTTCTTTTTCTAAAACTGTACTTTTCTTTTGAAAAATGTTCTTTTTTACACATTTTTTATATTTATAATCAAAAGAAAATGATGTAGATTTGGGATTTTGATATGAATTTTTATTGAAGTTTTCATTATTCTTTTGGTTCATATTTTTTAAAAATTCGAAACATTTAAATAAGCTTTCTTCACATGTTGAATTCTCTGTTTTTTTTTCATGAGAATTTAAATTTAAACTGGAGTTGTAAAAATTGTTACTTACTTCGTTGCTGCTGAGTTCGTTATTATTAATACGTTTATCATCACAATTTTCATCTAAGTCATTTTCACTTAAGAAGTTTTTATTTTTTAATTTTTTTTTATAATCGCCATTTATAATATTATTATTAGCATCATAATTATCTGTATTATCTTTTTTTTCTTTTACAGTATTTTCTAAAGGAATATTTCTTAATTCTGAATTTATATATGTTTGCTTTATATCCACTGATTCATTATTAATATTTTTTAAAATATTTTTATTTTTAAAATCTTCACATGAAGAAAGTTCATCAATTCTTTTTAATTTTTTAATTTGATCATCATTTTTATCAAATAAAGAAGTGGCCTTTAAATTGCATAATTCACTATATTCATTTTTATTATAGTTTTTCTCAATGGTAATATTACTTACATTATTATTATAATCTTTTATCTTCTTAGTATAGGATAATATGCTTTTTTTTTTTTTTTTTCCTTCCTTTTTTTTATTACTATCTAAATTTTCATTATATTTTATTTCAATGATATCTGAATTAATTCCACTATATATAAAATTTTCATTGTTTTTAACTAAAAAACATAATTTTCTATTAGAACTTAAAATAAAGTTATAATTTTTTGGTATTACATATCCATCAGACATATTTTCTAAAATTACTCCTTTATTTGTATAATTGTTATACGAGGAATTTTTATTGTTATTAATCTTATTTGTTAAATTTTTACTATATGATGAACCTTTATAGGTTTTTACAAAATAATTTTTAAAGAAATTCTTTATGTTTATATAACTATAGTTTATACAATTTATATCTTCAAATTCACTTCTGATATAATTATTTTCTAATTTTTTTATTAATTTATTAACAATTTCTTCTTTCGGATTTTTTTTATTTATATCATTCACAGAGCATTTTTTATTTCTTTTCCCTTTATTTTCTGATATTGTTAATAATAATTTCTTTAAACAAAAAAAATTTTTTGTTAAATAATAGAAGTCAACGCATTGTTTAGTGTTTTTAAATTCTAAAAATTGACTTATTTTATCAAATTTTTTAGGATATAATAAATATTTTTCTAGAAATATTCTTATCTCTTGTTTGTTCCATATATAATTTTTTTCATTCGATAATTCTTCATTACTGTAAAATTTGTATAACATATTTTCTTCTAGTATATGTTTAGTATATTTTAATCCTGATCCTTTTTTTGAACATTTATTCTTAAAAAAATTATTTTCCTTCTTAATATTATTATTATTATTTTCATTAGAATTGTTAATATTATTTGTGCATAAAATTTTTGAATTCTTTTTATTTGCATAAGAAGATATGGAATTGAAATAATTTATATTATCTGTCAAATTATCATAATCTTTAAAATTACACATATTATTAGTGTTTTCATAAATAACATTTCTTTCTAATGAAAATAAAGACAATTTAATATTTTGCATACAGTAAAAGTAAGGGTAATATTCAGATATATGCAAAAACTTTTTTTTTTTTAAATCACTAACAAATATACAATTTTTACGCCAGTTTATACAAGGGCCTATTAAATTAGCATATTTAATATTCATATATTCTTTTTTCTTTTCTTTTTTTTCTAATAAATTATCATCATATAATTTTTTGTCATTAGAAGTATAATAAGCTAAATTTTTATTATTATATTTAAATCCACATGGTAAAGGAACAAAAATATATGGATGATCATAAGCTCTGACTGGCAAAATACCCCATGCAAAAATATTTTTTTTTTCCTTCTCCTTTTCAGATATATCTATATCTTCTTTCCATAGCTTATATATTTGTTTATATATATTTGTGTGTTCTTTAATAGTTTCTTCTAGTTGATTTTTTCTTTCTATATAATAGTTAAAAAAATGAAGAATATTCACAGGAATATGTTCATTTTTAAATTCTATACTAAATTCACTATTTTGTATATGAGACATATAATATTTTAATGTTATTTCATCATCATTATCATTAAAACTTAACATATGTTTATAAATTGTTAAATAATGTATTTCTACTTCCTCATTTTTATTTAAATTGTTTTCTAATCCTTTAAAAGATAATACTTCATCAAAAAAGGAATAGCTATTTTTCCCATTTTTATAATTTCTTCTTTTTATGTAATTTTTCCTATTTTCATGATTTTTCACATATTCACTTTCTTCTTTATTGTGTATACTTTTTTCATTTGTTTTTCTTTTTTTATTCCCTTTTAAATTTTCATCATCATTACTATTTATTATATTTTTATGATTATTTATATACTCACTCTCATTATTCTTGCTAATTTTATAAAATTTCCTTTTTTTTATTTTTCCATTATATTTGTAGTTTCCTTTTTTATCACTTCTAATATTTAACGAATAATTTTTGTTCATATAATTTAATAATAAAAAAGGTTTAGATATTTTATTTTTTTTTTTACTAGTCATTATTTTTTCTAAATTCAATTTTATATTTTCTATGTCATATTTTAAGTTATCATATTTTATCTCATGAATATAAAAATAATCATACCTTTCCTTTTCATTTTTGTCCATTTTAAGTAAGTAATTTAAATAAAGAAGATTATAATATAAATTATCATCTAATGTTATATGTCTGCTTATAATATTCATTTTTTTTGTATTATTTTTATTTAAAAATTTATTATATTTAAATAAAAAATCCAAATATGAATTACTGTTAAATCCTTTTTTATTTAATAAATTGCTTTGGTTAAAATTTATATAATTTTTGTCAATAGAATTTTTCATAATATCCTCTTTTATATTATTTTGAGTTTCATTATTACCTTTATTATTATTATTATTATTTAGATAATTATCAAATTTGCAGTTATTTACACCATGACAATTACCATTTAAATTTATGTCATTATCATTAGAATCATTATTATAATTAAAGTTATTTACATCGTTAGATGAAAAAATTAAAATCAATTTAATCTTTTTTTTTAGATTTAATAAATATTTTGGAAAGAAATTTTTTTTAATATAAATGTATATATAATTTTTTTTTTCTGCATTTATATTAGAGTCATTTTTGTATTTTCCTTTTGTTTCATCAATTGTATCGTTATTATTCATGATATCATATTCATCTGCTAAAATATAATCATAAAATTTCTCTATTCTATCACACTTGAAATCATCATTACTAATATATTTATCTCTTTTTTTGTCAATAACTTCACAATAAAAAATTTTACTTATACTACAGAAGAAAGTTAAAACATTTGATATCATATTTCTTAGGTTATTTTTGTTTACACTTTTATTTATTTGTTTTTTCATATATATCCAATATATTTTATTTTTATTTTCGTTAATAGTATTAGAAGAATTATATAAATTACTATCATTTAGAATTTTACTGTCAGAATTGACATTTTTATGTAAGGCACTTTCACATGTATTGGATACATTTTCCTCTTTGTTACTTATAATATTTGATTTTTTCGTATTCTCATTGTTTAAATAACTTTTTAATTCTTTGATATTTTTTTCCTTTTTTTTTTTTATTCTTTCATTTTTCCGTTTTTTTTTTTTTTTAATAAGAAAGTTTATCAATTTCCTTTTTTTTTTTAATTTTTTTTTTTCTTTTGCATAAATTTTATCTATATCTTCATCATCAAGAATATTTTCACATAAATTTGTTTCTTTGTAATATTTGTTTTTAGATAATGCATTAAACAAATCAAGAACAACAGAATTTTTTACTTTTAAATTATCACTTGTAAAATCATTATGATCACATTTACTGTTCATACATATACAATTATCATGAAAAATTTGCAAAGGCGTAACTGAATTAGCAAAGTTTTGAGATGAGTGGGAGTTATTATTTTTTCTTTTTTTTTTTTTTTTTTTTTCATGTTTTACCCTTTTTTTGCTTTCCTCATTTTCTATAAACTCTTCTTCATGTTCATTATAAATTTTTAAACTTTTTTTGTTTTTTGTGAAATCAGCTTTTATTAAATCTTTTTCCATTTTTAGTATTGCTATGTCATCATTGTTTTCTTCATTAGCATATTTAATTTCTTTCGAAATTTTGTTAGATATTTTTTTGAATTCTATATTATTTTGAATTTTTAAATTATTTAAATTATTGAAAATAGTAACTAAACGCTTATGTTGCTCATTTAATTTATTTAATCCCTGTTTCATTTTTCTTCTTATTTTTCTTATTATCAGATTTTTTATTTCTTTTTTTTTATCATTTTTCTGGAAGGGATTGCACTTAATAATATCATTTATTTCTTTCGTTTTCTTCATTTTTAAGCTGATATACATACTTACAACTTTTAAAAGATTATATAAGTACTGAATCAAAATGAATTTTAAATAAAATTTTCTTATTTAATTCAGCATAGATGTAAATTTTTTTTTTTTTTCAAATATATAAAATATACATATAAAAAAGTTCTATGGTATGTTATAATATAATGAAAAAAAAAAAAAAAAAATATTATATTTACAATATTCATAGTAATATAGTAAAAATATTTACCAAAAAATAAATAAATAAATGAATAAATATATATATAAAAATGTATATTTGTATAATTATGTATTTTTATAAATTCGACAAAAATTCTTATTCGAACAAAAATTTTCATGAATTTTTATCACTTTAAAAAAAATATTAAAAAAAAAAAATATAAAGGTTTTTATCAAAATATTAACAAATTAATATTTTAAATATTTATGTAAATATTTAAAGTATTTATCAAAACTTTTTAATGTCAAAGTTAGGTTAAATTTTACATAACATTAATTAAAGCAATTTTTTTTTTTTTTTTTTTTATAATTTATTAAAAATATAAGGTATTCTTCATTATTTTATATTATTTTATTTTTTTAACATTTATCTCATACTAATCCATTTATTCGTATAAAAAGTATATATTTTTTCTTTTTCATTTTTCTTCCTTTTTTCTTTTTCATTTTATAATTTTTCGTAGCATTAAATTTGTAATTAAAAGGAATTAATCTCAGAAAAATCTAAAAACAAAATATACTTTTTTTTTTTTAATATTTCAAATTTTTGATAAATTGAAATTTCTTTAAATGCTTTTATAAAACCTATTTTTCTTATAAAAAAGTCTGAACATTCATAAAATTTAGCTTTTTCTTTTTTTTTTTTTAAAATAATATATTTTCAAAATTACAAATAAAAAGACCAAGATAAATTAGAAATATACAAATATTAAAATGGATTAGTTATATTTTTTATAGTAAACATATAAACTAAAAAATATGTATATATTCCAAAATATTTGTCTAATAACTATAAATCAGATGAATTTTTTTATTCAGAAGATTTTCTTGATGTTTTCCTCATTTTTAAAAATAATAATTATTACGTAATACATAAAAAAAAAAAAAAAAAATGAAAATAATATATAATGTATATATATATATATATAAATTAATTATATATATTTACTTGGAAAAATGTAAAATTTTAATTGTTTTTAATTAAATAGAATAGAAAAAATTGGATTATATCAAGGTAATGAATTTATCATTTTCTAAATTTTATGTTTGTATTTTTTCTATTTATAATACATTAACATATTTAATTTTTTTTTTTTATAATTTTTCTACATTTTTTTATAACAAGGTTTATTTCTTGTTTATTATATATATTTTTAATTATTTTTTTTTCCATTTTTATTTCAAAAAAATTCTGCATAAAATTTTCTTTTAATACCTAAAAAATTTTAATATTTTTTTTTTATAACATTTCTTTGTTTTTAATGCATGCTATTTTTTTAACGCATGTATAATTATTTGTTATATTTAAAATTAATATAAATATTTAAAAAAATATATTAATATTTATTTTTACATTAATTTTCATATTAATTTAAATATTTTTCCTTGTTTTTTTTTTTTTTTTTTTTTTTTTTTATTTTTTATTATGAAAATAGCTGTTTTTTTTTTAGTATATTAAAAAAAAAAAAGAATAAATATGTTAAAAAGAAATGGAATTAAGTATAATAAAATTTTAAAATAATAGAATAAAATGAAGTGAAAGTAAATAAAATAAAATCACATAAATAATAAAAAAACAGAAGAAAAAAATTAAATGAAAAATAAAGAATAATATAAAAAAATTATGAAAATATATATTAATATATTCTTTCAATAATACTATAAAAAAAAGAATATTAATATATCCCTTTTTTATAATTGTATTCTTTTTTTTTTTTTTTTTAAAAAGTAATTATAAATTAAAATTTTTTTTTTACAATTTGATCGCGAGATAGAAAAACGTATATAAAATACATACGCACACGAACGTAAGATAGATAAGATAAAATGAAAAGCGTACAAGAGGAATGTAAAAATAAAATTTATATAAATATTTTTATATTATCAATTTTTTTTATAAGCTTTATTTAGAGTAGCATTTGGATATCAATGAAAACAAGTGAAAATAAAAAATTTTTATTTTATCTCTACATATTTTTGACGTTTTTTATTCAATAAGACATCTCAAAGAGATATATATTTATATTAATAAAATAAAAAATTTATATACATATATATAAAATAAACATAAAACTAACAACTTAATAATTCTGTTAGATAAAATCAAGAAAGGAAATGAAATTATTTAAAAGTTTTTTTTTTTTTTTTTTTATTGATATTTTTCGAAGTTAATTTTTATTTCTTATTTATTATTCTTATTTAGTACTATTTTAAGATATAAATGTGTCAAATTTTTTTTTTAAAAAATATTCATTTTTAAATTGTTAACTTTTTTTTTTTTTTTTTTTTTTTTTTTTTTTTTTTTTTTTTAATT